AGTTGCCAGCCTGGACTATTATATTTAGGAAGCAGCGATGGATGATGAGCTTGGAATAGGAATGAGCAGATGGTCCTTGTACCTGCCTTGTTGATATGGATTGCGGACCCTAGGAAGCCACGATGGAGGACTGGTTGGTGACGGTGGCCGAGAATGGGACAACTTAGCAATACAGGGAGCTGGGAGCTCTGGGGTGCAGTTGTTGTTATGTAAACACCATGCACTGAAGTACGAGGGTAATTATGATATGGCACGCAAAGAACTACGAACTCGTTTGTTGACATCGACATGACAGTATCAGGTAAGGGAGTTGCTAGCATACCGTTGAATCCCTTCATTTCTTGATACTTATAAGAGACAGTCTCAATGCAGAGATCCAAAAAAGTAACTTAAAAGCAAATGCATTGCGGTCGCGATTAAAAGCACGGCCCAACTGTATGGTCCAGCAGTGCTGAGAAATAAGTACTGTTTTTGGGCGTACTTATCCGAGTGACGCTGTAGGAAGCTCAATCTCCAAAGAGAGCGCAACCCCAGCTTCCCGTCTTGTCGGCCATTGCCGCTCCTGGGGATTTCCTGTGCAATGCACCGTGAGTGTTTTCTTGAGGGGGGAAATTTGACACAAATGGACCGTTGTGGGTGACCAAGGGGGAAGTCACGGGCCTGGGCTAGCGAGGCCTGGTCTTGAGCGGATTCTGACACTCACATCATCTCTCACCCCCCACTTTGCTTATATTCGTCACTTGATACTCAGTCGGGCCACGTTCAGACACTAGAGGATTCAGAAACGTCGGCAGCAGACATATTGGCCATTCATACCACATTGACCACCTTCACATGCGCCATGTCAATTCGGTAGACGTACACTGGGCAATGACAGTGTAGAAACAGTTTTTAAAAGCCTAGTGCTTTCGAAACCAAGTCGTGTCCCAGATCCGATCTTGAGAAGTGGAGATTGAACTGGTAAATGCAACTTGCTTGCCATTTCACACATGATCTATCAAACACATGACCCAGCATAAACGAAACCACCCTATACATCCATGTATCAGGTTTGCGAGCCGATGAGAACCCCAAACGGCGATAACGTGCTGGGCTTCAACACCTCGTATAATATGAGTTGCTGAGAGTAGGATTTAGTCTCGCCATAACAGGGCGGGAACTGTCTTTGGGTAGAACTTTCCGCTATCACTCAGGTGCATCAAGCTTGGTTATATAGTTGGGGTCATGGGCATCAGTATGGCGTTCCTGAGCTCCCACCTATTTAACACCAGATTTGAGTGCTAATTGCTACTAAGTCAGAGGCTTTCAATGCCACCCGGGTGTCCACCAAGATGAAGCTTCCCCTATAATGCGGAGGTTACAAGAAACATATGACGCTACGGAGATGTCAGATCGGTAGGAGCTTGGGCCATTCGTGCTGGGACGTCGGAACTACAGAGTCCATCATGTTTTACCAATTATACCCCGTATACCAATGTGGCAGACAGTTTGGCAAGCTGCTATGACAATCATCCCAAGTTTCTTCTATTGGATGACTGTGCTCTAGCACGACAAAGTGAGACCAGTGCTGGGGGTGGGTGACCTATCAATGTCTGACCTCCTAGCCCATGGCATGTAGACTGATTGTACCGTTTTACAGATTCTGCCAGCCACTTGCCCAGAATATTGTGTCCTCGAGAATTATTGCAGATGAAATTGGAAGCCAAAACAAGTTATCTAGCAGTCAACGGCGGTTTAATTCGACTTCGCGGTGTCCTCGATACTGCCAATGGGCCCGCAATATCTGATGGTCTGGTAGCTGAGACAGAACCGAGGGAAAGCACCGGTGCTCCTGCGCATCTATTCCCATCCCGTCTTTTCTAATTCGTGAAAGAAGAATCAAGGAGAATCTCAGGGGCCTACTGAGTGCTGAGTAACCTAGAACCATGGCCTGTGGAGTGTTGAGCGTACAAGTGGTACTCCTAGATGGGGCGTTTGATTGAAACGGGATGCCGGTGACGATGCGTAGGAGGTATTGACGCGAGGCCCTGTTCGAGAAATGAGATGGCTTGCAAGGGTGCTCCCCTAGCCCAGCCCAACCCAGCCTGCGTTGGGTTTCAACGAAGCCAAGGTCTATACTATTCGTTCACAAGGAATAAATAGGGTCCCTGGACAGAGGCATGCCGATGTTTCAACAGCAATTCCTTGCTTTATACGGGACGTACAACACAGCAAGCACTATTGCCAGTCATTCCGGAGGAAAAGGACAAGCAAAGGCTGGATTCGATATAACGTGACGAAAATTGAGCTGTGTGAAGGCCAACACCAAAACAGGAAGGTGCATATTGGCCTGGACTCCAGGAATCCTTGGATCCCATGTGGCGCTGTGACCTTTTGACCATATCTAGCCCAAAAGCGGAGAATGGTTCGACTTCTCACGATCACCGTCGACAAGAATTTTCTCGATGTCGCTTGATACCGCGACAACGTGGCGACCGGGGATCGGGATCATCTGTTTTTCAAAATTCGATGAGCAACTAATGTGCCCAAGCTGGAAAGCTTCCGGGGATCGCAATGCAATGGTCACCAGGAGTCTAGGAGACAACACGATTATGATCGTTATGAAGAACCAGACAACGGCCATCATGGCCATTCTCGGTATGTGGACAGAACCAAGAGTTAGAGCCCAGTTTAGTTGCGGTCTCCGCTCGCACCGACTCCATCAGCCGAGCGATGAACTCCTGCAGGGCAAATTATAGGTCGTCGATCATCCGTGCGCATGCGGATGGGGGTCTCCGTGCTTCAAGGGGGTCCAGAAAACAAGGAAATTCTGCTCGGATTGCATGATGCTTGGTCAATTTAACGGCTACTCTTTCTGGTATCCAGAGCTCTGCCAGTTGAGATCAGGCGGGGAGCGTCGAGCGAGGGGTGCAATGCAAAGACTAGAACGGCGGGCTATTAAAAAGCCAACCTCAATTGGGCAAAGAGAGTGGACAAGGTTCCCAATTCCAACTGGCAATTTGGGTAAAACGTCGGAGAAAGCGACCTATCACCCAACTGAAAGGATCTCGTGGTTGGAGCTGGGAAACAATTTATTTCAGACGCCAATGATGTCAGAATATACGAGGTGGTTTCCAATCGAAAGGGGACGAAAAGACAGCAATCTCAACCTTTCTAAGATGAATCGGGGTTTAGGGGGGAAGGATATCGTTTCCCGACACTAAACAAAGCATGCCCGAGATCCGGTGGCACACTATGGCAGACCGGCTGCAGCATAATGACAAATTCGCACCGGCACTGGCAAGCCGGGGAACCTCAAGTCATAAAACACAAATTAATATCAATGACCATACCTACTCCAGCCGAGTGCAGCAGTTCGCAGCAGTTCGCCCGATCTGGCTCGGTCGGCCGGGATCCGCGAGCACTGCAGCCAATAAGTAGCAAGTCCTGCGCGCTGGCTGAGCAAGAATTGGCCAATTCAGACGAACCGATGGGACGGATTTGGTCCCAATTTGCTTGATGCTTCACACGGGACCTGGTGTCCTACAGCCGACCTGATTTGCTACAACTCTCGACAGAGATCGCCAGCCCTGCCCTATCCCTGCACTCTGCACGATCGGATCTAAATAATATTTGAGCAACATGGAGTCTGGCTCAATGGCTTCAAGCAACGGGAGACANNNNAAAAAAAAAAAAAAAAAAAAAAAAAAAGGAGGAAGACGAAAATTCGGCATTGAGGATGCCCGCACAGAGTAGCTGGACGGGGGAATCCCGCACAATCTCTGTCACGTCAGTGTCAGTGTCAGTGTCAGCCTGTCAGAGCAAAGTGTCAGAAAGTGTCACTGCGTCAGACCCGGCGTCACTCCGGCGGCTTGGGACTCGAAGGGTTACAGCCGGGCGCCCCTGTCTCCCGCTGGGGTCAGCGGAGTCGGATCCGTGGTGTCGCGCCTGTGATTGTGGTGATGGTGGAGATTTGAGGCTAAGGGCGCTAAACGCCAATCCTGCCACATCGTCACTGTGGCCCTGCAATACGCAGATACGCCCGGCGTCATCCTCTCGGGCCCCAGGCTCCAGAGAGTGCGAGATTTGCCACTGTTTTTGAAGCATTGTGGCTCTGAACCGAGATTCAAAGGCGGCGGTGCTTACAACTCGGTCTCTCAGATTGGTTACCAGAAACAAGAGTGGCCCGTCCCCAGTGACAGGCGTCTCAAGTTGTCAAAAATTTTGGCTTGTCGGCGCCGGCGAATCATTCCGTGCGGATCTTGGTCCACGAGGAGGATTTGCCTAATCTAGTGTGCACGCGAGAGGCCACTCCGGCAATAGTTCGAAGTCTGAGGCTAAATAATTCGTCGAGATCCAACAAAGTTTGATCTGGATGTCGTGGCCCTCGAGACGCGCTTCCCCTTCCCATTCGAGTATTTTGTGGCTTGGGCAACCAGACGGTTCAGCCAGAAGACAGCGCGGCTCCGGGCGATATCCATGGAAAGACGGCCGCCTTCACACATCTCTACAGGAACAACCCGGGGTCTTGTCAGCATGATTTGATTGTTAAGTAGACAGCATGATTTTCCACCCACATTCCAGGCAGTCGGTCCATTCAGAACGCTATGAATCATGGATTCCGCGCTGATGCTCTCGATCGACCCACCAAGTGGAGCTTGTCATCGCCCCTGGCTGGCCGACTGAGTCATGTACCAAATAATGATGGCAGCGATGCTAAACATGATCAGCTCGTTCCCTCGTGGAATTGTCAGGGCCGCTAACAACGATTGACTGGTGCATCTCCTGATATTTCGACCAATGTCGATGCAGCGGGGTGCGCAACCCCAATTGACTGTCAGGCTGTCATGCTCGTGGTCGCTCATCCTTCAAGTGGTTCCCTATTTATGGATCTTAAAGTTTGGGGGGTCAACCAAATCTTACCCAGTCATCCAGCGGCCAAGTTACCAGGAACCCAGCTCTGGCAGGACTTCCTTCGCCTTCCGGTTCCGCTTATAATCCGACTCTGAGCTTATCCAAGCTTTCTCTCCCACAGGAACTCGATTTTGGGGACGACGGCCTTGCCGTCTTGTCTGCCTGTGCCACCACCGCCTCTCGGTGACACCTGAGATGTCATATGCATGGGGTGCGGGTTGTATGCCTGAACCCGCCAATGACAGAGATAGACTAATCCGCTTTTATTGCTTTGGTTTTCCAGCTTCCTGGTGTTGTCCTGTAGCACGTCCAGTATCGCGGTCGTTACCTTTTTGGTGTTGATCGCTTTGGGATTCTTCTCCCCAATTATTGGCTTTCGGTGTCTGGATCTGAAGTACCCCACGTCAGACGAGATCCATATTTGACCAACAACAGAATGATCTCTCGGCGATCAGCCTTTTTTCTCCGAGTCTTGAGTAGAAAGGAGAGACTCCGACTGTCCAGAATCTCGGAGAGGGGTAAGACGTGGATCATTTCCTGGAGTAGTGGTGACTTGCCTCGGGGCGATTGAAAGTCCTGAGAGTCCAATTTGGAGTGTGCAGCTGCTGGCATACATCCCGCATCCCGAGGTCTATCTTCAAAAGAAGTTAAAAAACAAAAAAAAAAAAGGAGTGGAGAGGGCGATCGGTCTTTTCCTGACCAGGAAATTGAAATCAATTTCCTAAAGTTTGGCTTTGGCCCCAGAGCCAAGGCCCAGTGAACGCAGCGATTTCTTCCCATCTTGCGTCCTTCATTTCCTCGTTTACTCCCGTTTGATGTTAGAGATCGATCTGAGATGCCTCGATTCGATCGAAAACCCAGACCTCCCATCATGGCCTTGCAGCGGGAGGACGCGGGCCCAGCGCCATTGCCGTCACCTCGCCTCTTGGGGACTGCACTGATGCCACTCCATGAATTATGGGCCTCCTTGATTCCCTGGCTGCGCTGGGGCTGGGATAAGCTATGGAAATCTGGAATCCCGGCTGCGTTTGTGATATGCTGTGACATTCTGACACGACCACACTGTGGATCCGAAGGCTGGTTGATCTGCTCCCTCCCTGCACCTGTGCAGTCACGCAGTGTCCGTGATTTGCCCACTGGCTGGACCCTTTTGCTTTCACTTTTCAATTTTTGGTCTTCTCCTTTGATTTGATTCGCTTGGAATCTTCAACCCAGAATTCAAATACCTTGACGGGCTAATCCCTGCTCAGGCAAAGTGACAGTCCAACAAGAATCTTTGCCTTTCTCTCTGTGATCGCGCATTGTTGCCTGCACGACGTGTTCCTAGGATGATCAGTGTGGTCCGAGTTTCGATTCCCCAACAGTCCAAGGACTTCACCTCGCTCCAAGTTCCAACGCAGGGGGGGTCCCTGCAACATCTGCCCAGTTACTCCACCCTTCTCGGGAGATTCACAGTTAATAAGCGATGGGCTATTCATAGCAGAAGGCGGGTTGGAGCGTCGATTTGAGCACGCAGATGGGGCGCCCCCGTCAGAGTGGCAAAAAAAAAAAAAAAAAAAAAGGGCTTGAATTTACGATCCATATGGGGAATGTCGCAAGAAAGCGAACTTTGAAATACCTCACGAGTCACGACAGAAGAGGGGCCTAATTAAAGCTGACTACGACAGGATGAGAGCTTCTTGGGGGCAGTGCTATCATCGTATCGCAGACGGACTGGAAACCAGAAGCAAATTAGCTCCATTCTGGAAGTTTACTTGATCGGATCTGTAGCCACTGAGCTGGAGAGCACCAGTTTCAGCTATGTTTTGACTCGGCCGGGGGCGAATCTGGACTGGCAGCTAGTACGTCTACGGTAGTGCGTTCTCCTTCTGGGGGGGCGAGTATGGAGCCGCCAGGAAGTGGGCTCGTGTGTGAGGGAACTCTATGAAGGAGGGAAAGTAGGAGCAACGGTCACAAGGGTTGGCTGACCTGCTTAACCCGGGTTCCATTTGGGTTCTTCAGGACAAGAAAAGCCCGAACTGGAGCCACAGCTGTCGCTGCAGAAGACCAAAAAGGGATGGGCTGGAAAAAGAAACGCAGCTGCGACCCAGTATCAGTGCATCTTCTGCGAGGGGAGAGATCTCGGGACGAACGGGATGAACGGGATGAAACGGAGGGGGTGTAGTGTTTGGCAACGGCAGCAATAATAGGTTGATACCCGATACTCGATGCAGGCTCGAGCCTCGAGGAGTGCGACGGGCGTCAGAGGACTCTCGTCTATCAGTGTCTGCCTGCTGGTCATGGGATGGCCGATGAACCGTTCATCTCCATCCCAGCAGCACTTGGCAGATCTGTCACGGCAAGCCTCCTCTGAGGTTCCAGGCGAAAGGAACCGCCAGGCCAGCCCGCTGAGGCCGGAGGATTATTACTGAATGAATCAGGAATGTTCCCCTCATTCTGCTGGCCGAAAACGAGCGTCGAAAAATAAAGGAAAGGAAAGAGGAAGCTGCGACTGGCACTGGCTCCACCGTCAATTATTTCTTACCCACTCTGGGATCGGCGGCTTTCCTCTCGGATCTCCCCCCCTGTTCTTGCTGGCCGTGGATTCTGGATTATGGGCCTTGGGCCATGGATCATGGTACTGGGTCTGGGACTGCAACTGGAACTGGACAGGAATGACGGACTGAAGTCTTTAGCGTTCCAGAGATGCTGGTCTGACGCTAACAATTTCAAATATCGAATTCCTTTTTGGGCTTATTTTGGATTTATTTGGCTGTATTTTTCTTTTTTATTTTATTTTCCTTTTCAGTTTAATTTCGTTTGCTCTCAGGATGGCATGGGGAAGAGTAACAGTTAGAACAGAAGAACAGCAAGCGAGAAGCGAAAGGCACCTCGTGAGGGCAGATCAGGAAGGGAACTAGAAGCAGAGTAGTGCCTCCTGTCGGAGAGAAAGATTGAAGAATAATTGGGATGCGCTGCCAGCAAAAGCTGTTGGATCCTCCTTTCCTTGCATAACCTTGGTTGAGCCATTCATTCACTGGCTGTTGCTCCATCGTCATCGTCAGGTCGAGCACTCGAGTCCTTTTAACGGACGGCTCCCTCTGTGCTCTGTGCTCTATATTGTCTTGTCCTCATTGTCTCCCTCCACTCTACCCCATTAGTGCCTGCCCTGACACTCACCCCCTTCTTCTCCCTCTTGGACCCATCGTATCGTCTGGTCTTTAAAGCTACTGCTTCTCCCTCCGTCTTCTCGCATCTCCAGTGTCCACCTCCGCCATTTCTCCGCCATACTTTATCTCGCCATACCTATCTCACCTTTCGGGTTGTACAGCAAAACGCTCTTGTGTACAAGCCGCGGGTCGGCTTCTGCTGTGCAATCGCAATTCAACTCTAACCTTCCTACCATCCATATTTGCCGACTCTCTGGTTCCTCAATTTCGGTTGCTCGTCTAGTTGCTAGGTGTCTTGTCGTCTATGTCCCAGGACCGTGACCAAAGTGGGGGTTTTAACAACAAAATGGCCATCTCATATGCCAGCGGGCTACCAGCCGATAACCAAGCCCTTCCGTCATTTCGCGAGGTAAGAAAAACAAAAAAAAGATCAATTTCTGTTTTCTCCCCATGTCAACGAGTGGGGGGACAAAGAAGTAAGTATACTAAAACTGTGTCTTGACAGCTGCTTCCGCCACACCTACACGAAGAAATCGAGTCGACCTCATACTATCCGTCCCGACAGCCGCGCGAGCGTCCAACATCATCCCACGATGTGACACCCAGCCTTCGTCCTCCCTACGCTTCTTCTTCGTTCAAATCCCAGTTCGATCTCCGTGATTACCCAGGTTCAAGGCCCGACTCCCACCACACCAGGGATCATGCGCACGTTCCAGGCGCCACCAATGCTACGTCGCGCTACGGTTCGCGCCCGAGTCCCATGCTTCCTCCAATTCGCGACCTACAGTCGTATCCTGAGCGTGGGATGGGTGGCTACCCAGATCCCAGGGGCGCTTCACGACCGGAGATGACGGCCATGCCTCACGGATACCCGCCAACCTCGCACATGCCAGGACCGAGGAGCGACCGAATAAGCACCGATGCTTACAGGAGTGCGCCGCCTATGCATGGCCAGATGGGATATCCTTACCCGCCGATGGCTTACCAGAGTGATCCCGAACACGCCTCTCCACAAGCGCTATCGCATGGGCCTCAGTCGAATTTTGGCATTCTCGGCGACCCCATCGACTCGAAGAACAAGCGCAGGCGTGGGAACCTCCCTAAGCCCACCACTGAGATCCTCAAGAAGTGGTTTCACGAGCACTTGGACCATCCTTATCCCAGTGAAGAGGACAAGCAGATGTTCATGACCCGCACAAATCTCACAATCAGCCAGGTACTTCAAATCAATTAAAACTGCGTTTCTTTGGATCAGACTAACATCTACTAGATCAGCAATTGGTTCATCAACGCGAGGAGACGCCAACTCCCTGCCTTGCGGAATCAAATGCGAACCGGTGGAAGCGAAACAGATCAAAGACAGTCTCCTCTGAGCGACCTGGAACAAACACCGTCCGATTCGTCGCCCCAGTGGAGACATTAGACAGTATTATGAGTTCAGCGCTAGATTGGAAACAGGATATCACGGCCATCTCAACTTAGACGCCGCCGCCGCTAGGTACATCTACATTACGAGTTACGGGGCCAAACTGGATAGACACGATACGATGTCTTTTTTCCATTTATTTCCTTTATTTCTTTATTTCCTTGCTCAGGATCTAAGACCACTTTATCGAGTGATGCACACACCTTGATACCCTGTTTGTTTTCAGATTGAGTTTCGCGCTTTGCATGGACAACTTGGACTTGGAATGTTACGTTTCAGCGCATACCGGAAGATTTCCTTTTTTCTTTTTCTTTTCTTTTTTCTATTAATAATTGTCGATGCATCTGAGGGGGTTAGGTGTTTGTTATTTCCTCTTGTTTGGATTTATTGCCATCTGTTCCATTTCTTGAAGTTCTATTACTACAACCTGTACAGTATAAGTATGATTATGCGACCATGTCATAGACTTTTCATTGACGGTACTTCCCACCCAACCACATCTACCAGTAGATCAGATGGCAAATGAAGTCATGATGATTTGCATTCAAGGGACCGGTCCCTGTCGAAGAGACTTCCGGTGGCACACATTGGTGAGGGAGAGCGAGAATGAACCATGGTTGCCACCACCACGAACAAGTTACGGTGAACCGACGCAAGGTACGATCACGCCTGACTCGGTGGAAGCCAGAGCTGTCATGTCCAGTTGACTCCCGTTTAGACCTCCGTTGCCAGAAGGTATTACAGTTTTCGGTGAACCGGCCACTTCACTCCAGGCCACTAAGTCAGGTGTCATCGGCGCATCCTTTGTTAGCTGGCTGTCAGTTCACCACGAACACCCTCCACTTGTATCGAGATCCCCGATCCTCCAATGACAGGCCAGGAAACGGCGATCAAGATTTCTTTCTTTGTTTAGGGCGAGTTTCTTATATCTCAAAAAAAAAGAACAAAAAAAAAAAAAAAAACAGACGACCAGCGGCCTGGGGGACTCCTGCCTAGTCGGGCTAGTGCGTTACTGCGAAGTCGTCACTAGCGAAGATCGCCCATCGGATCGCTGACGCCGAGAGATTCCCGATCGCTTTTTCTTTGTGAGATCCAGCTTTCACTTTCTCCTAGACTCCTTGGAGGAGGATCGATATCCGTGCCATCCAGGCTTGCATGTGGAAACTGGCTACGATTGCCGATGGCAGGTCCCGTTCTGTTGGTTTCTGAACCTTAATCTTGGGTGAGGCTTTGTGACTCGAGGACCCCGTATCCGGACCTGCTCTCGAACTGCTCTTGGTAATTCTGAAAGTGAACAACCATGAATGATTACTGACTGTATCTGTATTCATAGGCTCTTTCAAATTCCCACTTTGGGATGCCTGCCTCCTACGCAACGATAGCTTCTTCTGGTTAGGATCTATGCTACCCTGCAGTGCAGTGAACACGCATGCATGGCAAGGCAAGGCAAGGCAAGGCAATAGCGGAGAGGGGGTGGGAGAGTCCCGAGTCGAGAGACAAAGAATGCACCCTTCACACGGAACCGCAGCGGAACCGCAGTCCGCAGTCCGCAGTCTGCAGTTCGCAGTTCGCACAGACTCGACTCGAAGCTCCCAGTAGTACGTCTGCAGTCCCAGCAGGCTGGGCGACAGGGAGATCAATACGTACAAGCCTGGGGATGTGGGGAGGAGACCGTCCGCGGACGCCGGGTCCAAACTTAACTTTCCTCCCCGGCATCCAGGCGGTATGCCCCTCCACTACCTAATCGGAATGCGACAACTGACACCTCAGGCTCGGCCACGTACTTACGGGATCTGGAAAATGGGATGGACCGGGCGCAGGGCCGCAGGCTAGCCGCCCCCTGGGGCCGAGTCTGATTGTTGAACGTGCAGTCAATCACTGCAGCACGCAAGGGGGAGGGTGCGTTACCGATCCGTTGCCCGGGTCCCCAGCATTCTTGGTATCTGGATTCTGAAACCGGTAGAGTGGGACCTATGCGGTGTGGACTCGGGATATGGAGATTGAAGATCAATGTCACCCTTTGCGCAAGGGACTATTGCTGCTGCTACTTGTGGGAGTGGTTGGTTTGCTCGGTGGCAAATGTGACGGCATCTGGCGTGGCCCCTAGCTTCGCACTGACAGTGGCGTTGAGATTGAATTTGACATTGGCAGCGGCACCGACAAAACGGGAGATTCTTCAGGCAAGTTCAATTGGAGGGGCCGGGCTCTCCCGGGCTGGTGGCACTTTAAATGGTGGCACTAAAATCTAGGGTTATATCAACAAGCCACGGCACAAGTATAGCCTCACCCTTCATAGCCACAACAAAAGTATATATAACACCAAACTTACTGGAATAGGCAAATATTCAGAGTGGACACTCGAACAGGCAACCGAATTAACGTTTGGGGCAGTTGCCACCGTTATTCACTAGTCCATACCTTGCGTTGTCCCCTGACATGCCAGGCGAGCCGAAAACCAGGAAAGCTGGAAATGCCAGATGCAGGTGGACATGGTAGGCTGGGGGTTATATATCCGCTTCTTCCCCACTGCTCCTTGAAATTCCTTCTTTGACTTTGCGTTGGATTGTCAGTCGGTGTCAGTGCCAACGGCAGACCCGGCGATACGGTGAGGAAGATGCAGTCTGTATACAGATCACCGCCTGTTTGAATGCGTAAATATCAGCATGCATGGGCTTGCTAAGTCATGAAATAGTTCGGCTTGATATGTAGTGCAACAAAAGTACCTTTGACCTCCCTCTCCACCACCACCATCATCATCATCATCATATAAGCTACAACCCCCTCAACGACACCCACCTCCCCTCCCCTTCCATAAAAGCGCCCCTAACCTCCCCCATCCCCCTCCCAACAAGCCCACTCCAAACCTCCGCCGTCCCATCCGGCACCAACTCCTCAACCTCCAGACTAACCAGCGCATCAACAACCCACTCCTGACACTTCCTCTTGCCATCTCTCGGCGCCGCCTCCACCCGGATCACACTCAGCACGCGCCGGCGCTGCTCCGCGCTCAGATCCGTGATCTTGACCATCCCCTCCGCCTGGAGCGTGGTCAGGTCCACCCCTTCCCTGCTGTCGAACTGGTACCAGAGTCTGTCGAGGTCGATGATCTGGACGTGCATGAGGTCGCCGTAGGTCTTGCCTGGGGTGCGTAAGAGGAAGGACCAGTGCGAGCGGGATTGGGGAGTTAGGCCTGGGCCTGAGATGGGGATGTAGAGTTCGTGGGTTGTCATTTTGTTTAGTTATTATTGTACTCCGTAGTAGTTGTAGAGTTTTGAGTGTCCTGTATGCGTGGTTAGTTGGTTAATTCAGTGTATTCAGCTCACTTCGGACGAGCGGGATTTGCAACTTGTGGTGTTGTTATGGTGCTTACTTTGTACTTTTTTAAGTAGAACCCATATGAAATGGCGCGTTCGTTCCCAGCCGCCTCAACTGCGAGTTCTTGTGGAGTGCGCGATAGATAAGCAGTGAGAGCGGACCCCGCGATTTCATTTAAGACGGACGATTGCCCCGCAATTCGCGACAGCTGAGGGAAACCAAGCGAAGTGAGATTGAAAGAAGGCATCATCCAGTGAAGTGCTGGCGCGTCGGCCAACCACCGAAGCTAAATAAGCGCGGGCGTTGTTGATGGAGAGAGACTACATAAGCGAGCTTCCTCATTGGAGACTTGAGGGTTCTTACAATTAGAGGAAGGGTACCTACTTAGTGAATGGAACTTGAGAGATAGTTGGAAACACTTATTCGTTACTTGCACAATAATAGCCAAAAAAAAAAAAAAATACCAAAAATCTAAAGTCTACATATATATATAGATAGGTATTTATAATATCCCATCGCTTCTATAGGTAATGGACATTTAATCCAAATCACTGACAAATTCCACTCCCCTGCAACTTCGCAGCTGGGTAAAATACCCTCGGCAGCCCGCTGTTCATCGGCACAGGAACCTCCCCGTTATCAGACACAGTGACGTTCGTGCACGACAGGACTTCCGTTAGCTTAGCCCCGGCCTCATATCCCGTATCGGGAAGAGAAAGCGTGTACTCGCTGCCTTCGGACCCGGCATTCGTGAAAACAGTGACCACCTGTGTTCCGTTGTTGCCCTTGCGCATCGCTAGAGATGAGTCGTCTTGGTAAATTGGGTAGTTCTGGCAAGGACGTTAGTAGCCGACTAGAAAGAAAGGACAAGGTTTGCATAGTTGGTACCTTATAAGTAACCCAGCCGTCATCCTGGAAGATGGCTTGGTTGCGGACTGCATTCGACGAGGCGATGAGCTTGTACAGCTCGCTTGATGTGTCGAATCCGGATAGCCAGGTTGCCTCGCGGTTTTCAGGGTCCTCGCCGCCGGCATAGTGCTGCTCTTGGCCGGCGTAGATGATAGGGATGCCGTCGGACAAGATGAGAAAGGCGGCGACGTTTTTGGCGAGGGACATGTCGTCGGTTTCCCTATTTATTACTAGCTTAGTAGGTATTACTAAGAAAAGATATGGGTGGGAGGAGCTTACGAGGCGAATCGCGGATTGTCGTGGTTCTCGATGAAGTTGCCCAGCAGGGTTGAATCGGCGCATGTGGATTTGACGTTGTTGATCATGTCGTATAGCTCGCTTATGCTGCCAGACGTGGAGCTGAAAGCCCTGAGAAGGGGAAAGTAACTTTTGAAATCAGAATGGTTTCTCTTCAGGGAGGGCGTTTTGGGGTGGTACATTGGGTAGTTGAGCACGCCGTCCATAACCTCCTGGTATGCGCAGGTGTACTCTGGATCACCTTGGAGAACTTCGCCGACGCAGTAAACGCCCGCTGCATCGTTAAAGTCTCTCCAAAAGTCTTTCTGGACGTGCCTGACTGTGTCGACTCGGAGGCCATCAACTAGTTGGGTGAGCTTCGATCATACAGACTGACGGGGCGGGTCTTACTGGAGTAGTTTGATACGAGAGATTCGACCCAGTCGTACCACATGGTCTTCACATCATCCCGGGTAGTGTCGACATCTGGCAAACTGACAGCACTTGTGCTCAGCCAGCACTCTTCGACCTGAGTTTGGTCGTCGTAGTCATCAATGGAGCACGGAGAGTGGAAGTAGTCTTCCGAGTTGAACGGGTTGAAGGCGCTGTAGTCGACAGAATCGGCCGCGCTGTTGGATCCCTATAGTCGTCAATCAGCCAATGTCGGCAGTGTCGTGGACCATTGCACCCACCATGTGATTGGCAACGACATCAACCATCAGGTACATGTCCCGCGCATGCAATGCGTCCACAAGTGCTTTGAGGTCGTCCTCTGTTCCAAGCTCAGAGTTGAGAGAATATCTACCAAGATGAGCGCCGTTACCTAGTATAGAGGTAATATACAACCACTCACATATCCTGTTGCCAGTAGCCATGATACGCATCTCCGCTCGAAGAGTCCTCAACCTGGGCAGTCACCGGCGTAATCCAGATGGCCGTGAAGCCCATCCCTTGGATATAGTCCAGCTGACCTCGTCAGCAACCCCATCACTTACTCCTGCTAGCGCATAGCGCAGCGCAACAAGCGTACCTGATTGATGATGCCCTGCCACGAACCACCACAGTATCTCTTTTGTTTTTGTTCTCTCGTCAGTCTAGACCCATTCTATTTTCACGGGGAGACAAACCCCAACACTGGTATCACATTCCGCAGTCGTTGAATTGTCCGTGCGGGCGAAACGATCGGTGAGTAAAAAGTATATCGACTGGGATCGCCACTGCGCCGGAGTCGCCGCCAGGGCCGTCGCCGCAAGAGAGAGGAGAAGGGTCGACCGCATTCTTCGTTGCGCAAAGAGATAGCTGTGTGCCAGGCCAGAAAAGCAGAGAGACCATGGCTGCAGTATTTATGTGCATAGTTTATGATCTCCTGACGATGGTGCAGCGATTAATCTCCAGCGATTGTCTGGCCCTAGGTGTGCGCATGTAAATTTGGTTGGAGAGTTTGCGACGATCCGGCCATGATGGCGGATGGTTCCAGGGAAATTCAGGGGCCTCAGTGGGGAAGCGGTCGCTGCGACAGTGCACTTTTATTGCTGACAGGATATTTGCGGGATCGATCAGCAGATTGGGGGCCTTTTCTCTTGAAGATGTTCAAGGAAAGTTGCATTAACACTATGGAAAGGCCCGCTAGATCAACAGGACACTGCCCGCCTACGGGTTCTCAATGCCGGCGAGTCCGGGCATCCTGTAACTCAACCACGAGTCATTCCCATTCAAGAGTCCAGTCTTCGCCCCATGCTCCATCCTTTGTAAATTTATCCAGCCCCGTTACGAACAGAGCCTGAGAGGAAACGTCATAATCGGCAGGCACCTGCTGGCCGTTGAAACTTACGGTGGACGGCTCGTTGAAGACGCCCAGAATGGTTACGTTTGCCAATGGGTTGGCTTCCTCCCAATCGCCGTTTGCTGAGACCCTGAGACTCGACCCAGATGCCTCAAAATCGACGTCAAGAGTAGCCTCTGGATGCAGGCTTTCCCCGTCGTCCAGGTATAGCTGCCCTGACGCAGTTCCGTCGCTACTTAACGCTGCTAGCAATGCCCACGGGGTCCGACGAGCGTCTCTTATGGTTAAGGCCGGCTCTTGCATCGGAAGGATACTTCCGCCCCGCACATAAACAGGAATGTGGCCAAGTGGTGCTTGGATTGTCGTGTTGACTCCGGGTTGTGCATCCACTGCAGTCTGCGTGTACCAATCGTACCATATTTCTCCTTGTCCAACACCTGGGAAAACACCCTTAACAGTGTCGACCTGTGGCTCAAGAACGGGAATGACCAGAATAGACGGACCAACCAGGAACTGGTTGTCAATCGCAGCGAGCGTGGGATCATTGGGAAACTCCCAAGCCAGCGCTCGCATAACGGTGGAGGCTGCAGTGTGCGCGTTCTGCATCAACGTATAGAAATATGGCAGCAGGGCATACCGAATCTTCATTGCTGCCTTGGACGCACCAATAACCGAAGCCCACCGATAAGGCTCCTGGGAAATTGCCCCAAGGGCATTATGGTTTCGATAAAATGGGAAAAACGCCGAAAGCTGCATCCACCGGTTGCAAAGTTCCTCGTCGCTATTATAACTAAAACCGCATGTATCAACTCCAAACATCGGCATGCCGAAGAGAGAGAACTGCAATGCCTGCGAGATCGAAAAGTACATGGATGACCATTTTGAGAGGTTGTCACCACCCCAGTGGCCTGCCCATCTCCCTGACCCGGAAAAGGTTGACCGCGCAATGATGAATGGACGCTTGTTTGGCCATATTTGTGTCAAGCCTTGGTAAGTGGCTCGAATGCCCATATGTCCATAGAGGCTGTGTACGTCATATTCGTGATAACCATCTACGTGAGTAGCATTTGGGGAGACTGCATGCACAGCAAGGTCATGGCCGGTCTGAACGTGGTTGATCACATAAGGTGGGTGGTTGATATTACGGACCCCAGGCGTGGGCGATGTGCGCAGGTATGAGCTGGTGGCAGACGTGGAAGTTTCTGTGGCTGCGGCCTGGCTGGAAGAAGCTGCAGACGCGGAAGCAGCTTCGGTAGCGTTGGTCCTCTCAAACCCTTCGGGATACTCAAACACCATGTTTCCAGGTTCTCCGGGTAGCTTGAAAGGCGGATGTGCCGGGTTAAGTGTCCGGTTCTGAGACCCACAGCTTCCCACACAGAAAGACGATACTTCGCCCATGTCGTACCACACGCCGTCGAACTTGACTTTTTCGTACCAAATTACAAGCTCATTGGCCCAGTAATTAGCCGCTTCAGAGTGATGCCAGTCGGGGTACACGGTGTACCCAGGCCAGACAGCCCCAACATAGAGACTTCCATCCGGGTTCTTAAGATAGACATCTTTTGCGGCACCTCTGGTATAAGTGTCATATCTATACAATATTAGCGGCTTACGAATATACTCCGTACAGGTATCTCCAACACCTACGTATCTGATTCGTTCTCGGGATTCGGAATATACAGTGCCGCATCAACAATGGGCACAAAATGGCGTCCACCTGCATGGAGATTATCCAAGAAGGCTTCAGTGTCTTTGTAAGAGAACCGATTCTGGTCGTTGTCAAAATCTCTATAACCATGCATGTAATCTATGTCGGCCCTAAGTAGTGTAAGCAACAAATATATGAGGCGCAAACGAATAGGCGTACCAGAGATATTCCAAGGGAATCTCAAATTTCTCGAAATTGGCAAGGACATCTGCAAATTCTGACCAATTGTTGTAGCCCCATCGGCATTGATGGAAGCCAAGCGTGTCGTATTTTTGCATAGCAGGGAGCCCCACGGTGCTGCGTTGGTACTGCTCCGTTACCTCTGCTACAGTCGGCCCAGAGTAGAAGGTGAGGTCGATACTTCCTCCTATAGTCCGCCATGTCAGACCTTTGGGGTTCAAAATAACCTCCTGGCCATGAGCATTCCTGAGGAAAATCCCGTGCGAGTATGAGACATAGTCTTGCGTGGCATCGGCCTCACTGCTCTTCACGTATGTATGCTCCCCAGTCTGTTCATCGACTGTGTAATATCTGGTATCCACATAGAATGCATGGTGTCCATAGATGTTTCTGGTTAAACCACATTAGCATCTGACAAAAGCCAATTGGCAGATACATACTCATCAATTGGGTTCCCGATGTCGGCCGCATAGGTGGTTAGGGTGGCGTTCCTCAAGAGCCGCAGCTGGTTAATGCGTTCTCCTAGCCCATAAAGATTGTATTCCTCCGGGAGAGTCGTCACGAATTCAATAAATTGATTTTCAAAGACCAACACAGACCCAGCGGTATCGAAAAGGACCTCTCCGGTTGCCCTTCGGGTTACCTGGAAGTTGAAGCTCGGCTCATTGGACCATGACACAGAGAAGTCACTGTGCGACTCCGAAGCGTCTGGAACCGTTTCTGGGCGGGGCACCAATTCCTCTGGGAGAATATACCAAGACTCATTTGACGCGTCCACATAGGTCGGAGTGATTTGTATGTTTAAGCGGTCTGTGTCCTGAAATTGCACCTCCAAGACCAAAGTCTCGACATCTGTCCCATATACATTACACGGTTTTCCTGATAGCTCCAGACTGGCACTAAAGCCATGGGTTGAGTGTTGCACATTGGATGCTCTGTACCCGGGGCAGACGGACTGGGCGTTGACGGCTTGTGGGTCGTCAACATTGGCGATCAGTTTTTCGCCGACATCGACATAGTCGGCGAGAGTGAACTGAGTCCGCTCGGCGGTATCGGTCGCGGTCGCCAAGTTCGAAAGGGGTTTTAAGAGATCCTGTTGAGCCGCGCCAAAAGCGAGGGCGGGAAGTGACGCTCCAGCAAAAAGGTGCCTGAAGCCGACCATGGTGGAGAAGCTCTATCCGATCGTATGATGATCAGCTAGAAACGCCGACCTTTCCTCTATTTATCCTCAAAACTGCCAAAGGTAGTCGGACAAGTCACTGGTGGTCTCGATCATGTTGTGGCACCCCTCCCAGCGCGTGAAGATCATCCGTTCAACCTGGAATGCAAGGGGCGTGTTTGCTGAGTGAATCGACTTTTCGCCCAAGGAGGGGTAGCATCCTGGTATACGGCTGGCATGCTTGAAGTCTTGGAAGCCTGATAATGCGGGGGAGACCGAGGCAACTCCCACGTCACGTCACAGCTTAAGCAGGAAGACCTGAAGCCTGGGGATCGTCAGTCAACGGGCAGTGATTGGCCGGTTTTCCGATAAAAGACCGAGCCTATAATAGAGCAGCTAACACGAAGGATATCAAGGAGCAGGCCGAGCAGCAGCGAAGATGGGGAGACTGGAGGAGTGGAGAGCGAAGTGGAGGAGACTGGGACTCCCCAGAACAGCGTAATATTACCAAAGTTACCGGTGAGCCACTTCGGCTTCCTGACTTCCACTCTGTGTCTGTTGATGCCCCGTTCCTTGTTTCTCTGTTTCTCGATATCTCGCCTGTCCAAGTCCCAACAACGTCACCGCCTGAATACAGAACTGTCATCAACATCAACAGCGCATCCATGGTCCAGCTGTCCGCACGGGCGGCAATGCAATGTGGAGCACTGCACGCCATAAACCCGGCATTCGCACTCAGCCACTGGCAACTGCATCGGTTGTCCTGCCCCATTCAAGTCGTATGCCCTTCGGCTTCCCGACATGGGATCTTAGCGAGCCAGACTACGGATAGGCCGGATATAGACTTTGTAAGGACGCTTTTCCTTGTCTAGTTTGAGTGCACTAGTCATGGTGCGAGCGCTCGTACCGGATGGCAACGGCACTTGGATTCCTGCACAGGGTAAGAGATGCCTTCCATGCTGCAGGGGAAGCCTTCCAGAAAATACCGCATCCTACCTGAGGGTGTCATCCCAGACAATCATCCTGGACTCAGGGGCTTTGGAGTCCGGCTGCTCGCTCAGGCCTCGCTTGTATACTCGACCGCAGCATATGAAAGCGAGAGCCCAGCAAGACTAACGCGAAAAGGTGCGAGGCCTCCAGTTAAACCGTGGAGACCGAAAAGTTGGATGGTGTAACGCGGGGCCTCGCGACTGACTATAGCTGCAGGTGCCACTATAGTGACCATGTATGGAGTCGAGTGGAGTTTAGTGTCACTGCGTATAATCTTTCGCTCATCTTTATCTTCTTGACTCCCCCGCTCGGTTTCCCCAGATTTTCACCTCCCTTGCATGTTCTTCATCTCCAGCGACCCCGTGCTCTTATTCCTACTGTTCTGCGAGAGAGCAATCTCGACAGTATGGCTGCCCCAAATTAGCATTGCTTTGGTTATGCGCAACCGTCCCCACCCTCGTCCTCCCGCATACTCCCAGACTCCAGTTCCCCTCGGTCCGACTGCCATCTATCTGTAATGATGGATTCTGGTCCTACCTCTCCGAAACCTCAGTCCTTTAAACAGGCCTGCGACAATTGCCGGAGGAGAAAAATCAAATGCTCGCGAGAGCTTCCGTGCGACAAGTGCCAGCGCCTGCTCCTTTCCTGTTCCTACAGCGATGTCCTCCGTCGCAAAGGCCCCAAGTTTCGCACACTCTACCCTCTAGCTCCCATCCATCCATTGGTGGCAAGGCAGCGACAGCTTCTTCAGTGTGACCCTCAGCAGTCCCCAACAGAGAGGGAATGGTATGCGGATCCTACAAGCTACCCGATGGGTGGCTCTCCTACACCTCCGCCGTTCACCATGGAAGAACCCCAATATCTCGCCCCTGACCTCCCGGATTCATTCGCCCGACTACCTCCTCCAGAGCTCGTTTCCTCACCAGACTCCTTTAATTCGCTATCGGATTCACCTCCTGCAGTGCTGTATCCTTCCCCGCGAGTTTTGAGCCCACCTGTGCTTTTGGCCCACATTAACGTCTACTTGAAATATATGTTCCCTATAATGCCGGTAGTGCAGAAAGAGGAGCTTCAGCAAGACTGCCACCATCCGGAGCGCCTCTCCCCACAGCGGTATGCGTTCTTGGCTTCTCTTTGCGCCGCTACGCACATTCAGTTAAAACTGGATGGTGTCTCGGAGACCTCCCACCTACAGACTGGTGGTGATGGAAACTCAGTAATGTCTGGCGATGAACTGCTTGCTGAGGCTGTCCGTGCAAGAAAAGACTGCGATCCAATTGAAGACATGAACACCGAAAGTCTTTTAACCTCATTCTTTTTATTTGCTTCATATGGCAACCTGGATCGCCAGGATCACGCATGGTTCTACCTCTGCCAGGCGACGTCAATGATCTTTTCATTAGGGCTCCATCGCGAATCCACGTATTCTGAATTGAATATCGAGGAGGCGGAGCAAAAACGTAGGGTATTTTGGCTCCTGTTCATCACGGAAAGGTATGAAGCCGTCGAAAATTAGACAAAGTGCATTGTTGATTTTATTCCCTATATTCTAGAGGTTACGCATTACAGCAGGCAAGACCGGTGATGCTTCGAACCTCCATCCATAAACCGCAGGTTCTTTGCTCGGACGACCCTATTATGGCGTACGGCTTCATTAACCTCATTGGGGTTTTTGAAAACCTCAGCGTCAACCTTTACGACTGGGTTTCAGCTGGTGGGGGAGATGGAACATCGGAAATGCCGCCTACTTCCATGATCCAAGCAAGCCTGAGCAAACCAATTTCGCTCGACGGGGTCTCAGAAATCCAGAAAGTCGATATCCTCATTACCCAGCAATGGCTGCAAGCTATGATGTGGAAGCTATCAATGACTCGGGCTTCCCAACCGGGCTCACGGACTGAAAACGTCCTGCCTTTTCATCTTCCTGTGGTGGTAGGGAAGGCTGTGTTATCTGTTATCGCGGAGGCCTCACAAGGTGCTGTTGACGCACACGGTATAGGAATGGTTAGTTTTATGGAAAACCCCATTATATAGCACGTCTAATACCTTACTCAGGAGCAAAAGCTGTTCGACCTCGGCATATCAGTCGCAGATGTATCACGCTCACTCTCAGCCAAAGCTGCAAACAGCCTTGCAGAGTCTACCGTCGACCCCCGTGAACTATTATGGGGCATCCTCTCCACGCTCTCCCGAATTCGTGGATCTCAATCATACCTCTTCCCAGCACTGCTCGAACGATGTAAAGGCATGATGGGCTTCGATTTCCCGCTTACTATAAGCGATTTTCTCCCTCCTCTTCCCGCCACCTCCTCATCCGCACCTATGCCACCATGGCAAGCAACCAACAATAACAATAGCCAAACCGCCAGCAGTTCCTGGGAGATGCGATCTCCTCCTGATAGCACTCATGATCAGAACAATGATCCAGCCTCAGGGATACTTACGCCGTCGGAACTTCCGTTTCAATCTGGGCGGCTGCTGACCTGATGTGCTATATGAGTCGACCCTCGCGACTCTTTACTATACAGCTGCATTTTCTCCAGCCTTGTATATTCATGATCATTTCTTTATATATATGACGAGAAACTGGACTCTCAGATTATTATGCACCGATTGTATGCATCTCTATATATATTTCACCCCTTTCGACTATTTTCTACCTACTTACGCCCTGCACTTCTCTCTTCGTGTATCTATTATTTCCCCCTTTTCTCTCTTCCGCCATACCTACACATCAATCCCTAGTCCGGTGATGAACAAGGAACGATCAACGACCTGACAAAACACGGACATACAATACCATATAGAGAATCCAACGAATGACTTAACTTTAACCCACCTAGCAGTATTGGCACCCAAACCACTTCCTTAACCAAGGTAGAATCTGATTAAAGGACCCAGTCCATTCCTTAGCTTCCCCCGCCATTCTCCATCCTCATTCCCCAACCCTAATCCAAAAAGTCGGGCCGGAAGACAAAAATGTCAGATTAACACGCGTTCATTGCGTCAAGCATGCCTAATGACTTAACTCAAATTCTTCACTTGGACTCATCTACCTTGGGAAGTTGGGATTGACAAGGTGAATACGTAGATACTAGTCTGGTTCTGAGACCCTAGTTCGGTTACTGTTATGTCGGCCCGACATCGAGTCCACGAGGATCCAAGCCTGGTTTGAGTGCGCAGCTCTTGATAAAAAGACAGGCCGGTGGGGAGATCGAGCTAGTTCCTTAGCCTTTTAGGCTGCGTCATAGTAATTAATAAAGAGAAAGAAGGTTTTAATTCTTGCCTTTCTAGAAGCATAGAATACGTAGTAACTGGTAGATCACTTATTGTTCCACTCACTCAGCAGTTGTACACTTGACTTTCATTTTCAAGACGTGCTGCGAGGGCCAAAAATCTCCAATAGTTACGGCTTGCGGGCACCTCGACCTCACAGTTGGTCTACGGTTGGATTTGGAAAAGATTTTCAAATAATTTTTCAATTTTCATATTAGATTTAATGTTGCGGTTGACGACTCAATCATCACCATGGAAAAGACAAGACGACCCCTGCGCCTGATTTGAACGTTTTGTGCAGTGGGGCGACGGCAGCGTTTGAATTAGATGTACAGCGAAGCGAAATAGGAACAGAGAAAGGGATAAGAGAAAGAGAAAAAAAAAAAAAAAAAAGCTGCGGTATCATCGAGACATGGAATCAAAAGTCATAATCTAGTACCGTGGCGGTTACCCCCTTTTGGGTATTGAGAAGACTGCAGTCTATATGAAGTCGACGATTTATGCAAGTGCGGCGATGCTGGCTGCGGAAAGGGTATGATAGAATAAATGGATAGAAACGGGAGAAAGCGGAATCACTGCCTTTGCCAAACCAGTTCCATGATTTGATCGCCATCTTCAGGGTCGCGGTGGATGTACCATTGTCGGACTTGGTCCGTGTCCATGATCGAGTCCGCCATTATATAGCTGATCTTCCCCTCGTCCCTGTCACGTAGAGGTCCAAGTTCGTGCATGAATGCATCGCGGTCCGGGTCGTGATCACCGTCCCAAGTGAGCTCCATCGATATGTCGTCAGGGCTGATTTCTCGACTGTATTTGGTTATCGAAAATCCGTTGGTCAGGATCCAGCCATCAGAGAATCGCCATTTCTTCAAGAGACAAGCTTCGCCGCAAACTTCACTGATTTTGCTGAGCTTTGCCATATCCGTATTAAACCATGACTTCCAGTGATGCACCGAGAGGGGCGGCTGCCTCGCAGCTTCGAAGAATCCCGAGGCGTCACCTCGGAAGTCCAGTTGTCGCAATCGGTGATCGATGGTTAAATGCGCACTTGAGTGTTGGTAGACACAAAGCGAAATTCTTCGGTCACCTGTGTGTATCATTTGTTGGCAGGCTTCGAAGACTTCGGGTTCGCTCAGCCGTTGAACTAGAGGGCGAGATAGGAAAACGCCAGCGCCTCCGTATCCCATGAGTCCAAATATACCGATCTGTGGAACACTTTCTGACACGCCGCCGACATATGTTGGTTGTGTATGATCGTACTTCTCGAAAGCCTCAATCAGGGCAGGCATTGAAAGGAAGAATGTGTCGTCATCGATAATGCAGGACCAACGAGTTACCTCCCGCAGGTTCTGAGCCAAATGGGAAACCAGTGAAAAATACCGGGTCTGATATTCATCGTTGGACTGTGTCACAGACAGGTTGATCCCAAGTGCTTCCGCCTTGGCTAGCACCTCAGGCACCCGGTTATCTGGCTCGATTAGCGCAAAGATGCGGACTCCCGTGCGGCTGGCCCAATGAGTAAATGCATCGAGGGACTCATTCAGTCTTTCCAGTGTTGTGGCAACACCAAAGTCGAAGTGGGAACCATCCACATGCCGTGTGCGGCGCGGTGTTCGCAATGCAATCTGGTTTCCAATAGAGCAATCGCTCTGCAATGCGTTCTCCGCCGTCTGTGATGTCTTTTTGGCACTTTGGTCAAACAAAGGAGTGTCAAGAGCTTGGGTCAGAGGTAGGTTATCCGGGGACTGGATAGCCACCACCTCCCGGCGCAAATACTGAGACAGCTTTGTCACCCCAAGGCGCTCTAGGACGGTGAAATCGGGCTCACAGCCGACATGAGCGGTAAGTGTGATATTCGGCTTGGCGGGATCATCTGGTATATGAACAATGTCCGGTTCATGTCTAAACCGCGGACCGAAAAGGAAGAACGCTCCCACCAAGCAGGCGACGAGGAAGTAGCGTGCGAACTTCTTCTTCCAAACTCGTGATGAATTCATCGGGGACGGGTCCCGTATGCTGAACTTGTTGGACATGGCCCGGAGATAAAAGTACTTATTGTGTGTATTAATAGCGGGTGCGGTTCTAGTGCATTCGCATCGCGAGCAGCCAGACCGCACGGTGGAGAGGGTGGTGGAGGCCGGGGACGGAAGAGGCAGTCGAGGAGAGGTAGGTAGCGACCGGTGGGTTCGACTGGCAAAGGATGGGCGAAGGATGGAGAGGGAGGGAGAGACGGAGAGAGAGAGAGAGAGAGAAAAGCGAGAGGCAAGAGGATATTACTCTCGGCGTGGAAGAGAGTAAGGAGGAGGAAACCGGAGGGACGAAGACGGAGTGGCCAGGGACGAAGACGGGGGCGAAAGATAAAAAAGAACCGAAGGGTCCGGCCAGACTGCGAATTATCATCTGCAGACCAGCAAGCGCTGGTAAAGGGGGGCGCCGCGATCCACTTCCTCGTTTTGCGGGAGGTTGCTTGTGTCGGGCGACGACTGGCCTCTTTTACTTGCTGTCCCTGTTGGAGCCGCGCGTCAGATTCTTAATCCTTGTGGTGCTGATGCAGCGACTTTGCATTGCAGTTCGCCCGATCTCTGCGTTCTGCTTGCAAGACTACGGGCTACAGCCTCGTTCGCGAGCATTGCGAGGTCAGCCCTACCGTCTGGTTTGGAGACCCTCGCAGCTTGCCCAGCGAAGCTCCAGTTGCAGACAGCTTCAAACAACTTCCAAGCCGGATAGGCTGTTGATGACGCGTTGCGGGTGATGATCCTGACGGAGAGCGGCTGGTTGCGACCCACGGCATCTTGGCGGTTGGAGGTTGGAACAAGAGGGCTGACCAGTGACGATGGCATCCGACGATGCTGTCGTAACGATGAGATTCTGCTGCCATCGTCCTCTACCGTAGTACTGCTACTGCTAACTACAACGCTGTCCTGCACTGGCAGCCAGCGCAGTCCTGGAGTGGCAAGAGGTCATGCAGCTGGCAGGGCTGTGCACGGCGTGTTTTATTGGTGTTCTATTATTGGACAAGGTCGGGATCTCAATTGCTGTCAGTGCGATATCCGATAGCATATCCGGACTCTGTATGCAGCAGTGCCACGGCCGGCTTCCAAGTTTTTGCCCCGATGGCCCTGTTCCCCCGCATGGAGCCACTCAGTGTCTTCGACTAGATCCTTGTGCACTTCATCTGATAATCGCGTGATGCCATCATTGCATGCCCCGCACTGCTTTACAGGTTTCATGCTTGAACTCTCTCCGTTGTCAGGAGAACATCAACGCAAGACGCCGGCCAGATGTAGCAGCCCATCGGAGCCACGAGTGTCCCTGGACCTCCAAATCCTCCGCGGTGGCAACGCAGAAATAGCCTGACGGTTGCGGAACTTGTGGAGCAGATCCGTCGACACCTGAGGCACTAGTTCCACTTCAGGATGGCACCTTCCGGATTGGTCTAGCGCCAGATGACTACTTTCTGAGTAAGCACACAGGGCAACTACGATACCGCGTAGCAGCCACTTGCGCAGAAATTCCTAATCGGGAAATGTTCATCCCGCACTGCACAATTGGCATCAAGCGATATTTCGTTAGATCTGATACGGGCTTGCAACACTCAGTATATGGAACTATTTGACGACTAAAGGTCTCTTCACATAACCGGCCCCTTTCCGGGCAACGATATCCTTCCCACCCCCCCGGCCTCTCCGCGCTCCACCGGGCCTACGAAACCGCCATGTCCACTCAGTCCTTGAGCTCGTTACTCTCCAGGGCGTCCATTGACGATCATGAAGAAGTTCTTCGCTCCTGCGATGCTGCGCTAGCCAAGTCCAAGTCCGATCTCCAGGCACAACATGTGAAGGTGGTCGCTTTGTTAAAACTTGACCGCTATGAGGATTGTCTACGTGTTTTTGAAGATGGTGGGGACAAATTGAAACAGAAGGCTGCCCTGGAATATGGCTACGCTCTATACAAAACCGGACATCCCGATTCAGCCATTGACGTGGTTTCGAGTCTCGCCGACGACCGGGGCGCACGTCATCTGGAAGCCCAGGCCGTATGTTCTCTTGAGCTATCTATGAATTGGATGTGCGGCTAACTTGATTCCTTTACTTAGACGTACCGGGCCGAGAAATTTCGTCGCACAGCGGAGATCTACCAAGGACTTGGCCGGGATGCGGTGTCAACGGCGAACGAGGAACACGATTTGCGAATCAACTCCTGGGCGGCGGATGCACAGCTGCAGTGGAAGGGCCACCCCGAGTCTGTTCGCCATGCCAGGCCTACGAGGGACGACCTAGAGGCATTTGAGACGGTTTATAACGCTGCTTGTCTAAGCATTGCGAAGGGGGAATTCGACCAAGCCGGGATTCTCTTGAAGCGCGCTAAAGGTGAGAATAATTCAAAGTCAGGAACTGGATTTCAGCAGCTGATACGGTCTCTATAGAGCTTTGCCGCACGTCAGAGGATCTTACTCCAGAAGATAGAGATGCCGAATTGCTTCCGATTGCTGTACAGCAGCTGTATGTTCTGATCTGCCAAGGGAAATCGGAGGAAGCGGAGTCCATACTGGAAGAAATATCAATCAAAGAGTATGCCGATGGTGGACATGTGAAATGAACCATAGCTTACGGAAATAACAGAATCCCCGAGTTGTCGACGAGAAGAATCGGTCAGAACAATGCCACGATCGCCCGCGGAAATTCGGCAAACCCATATGCTCTGTACAAGGCACTCCACGAGGTGCCCGACTCTTCGGATAACGACAAGCTATTCGACTACCAGCATAATTCCATAACGGGCAACCTTCATGCGGTCGACCTTCTTGTCCACAAATACGATGGTATCATTCGATCTACTTCAAAGGCTCTTTCCCGGGCCCCTTATCCATCCACAGATGCTAGTACGAATCTCCTATCAGTCTACAACGTAGCGGCACACGCAAAGGGCGAGACGGGGGCAACAGCGCTAAAGGCAATCCTGGCTGCGGTTGAAAGACGGCCAAAAGATTTCGGCCTAGTACTTACTGCAGTACAAATTTACGTCAGCCTGGGCAATACTACGTCCGCAATAGCCACCTTAGAGAAATCGCTCCAACTCGTCGACGAGTCCATCTCTGAACAGGACAAGGAAATACGCTTCAACCCCGGCTTGCTAAGTGTTCTTATTGCCCTATACAGACGCGAAGGCCGAAAGACCCAGATCAGATCCGAACTGGCCAAGGCCGCAGCTTTCTGGAGAGGCCAGGCTACCCAGCCCGCATCATTGCTGCGCGCAGCAGGTGCAGCTCTACTACACTCCTCGCTCACATCGGATTCAGCCCAAGCTGCAGAGTTATTCAAGTCTCTGTACGAGAAGACACCAGATGATCTGTTTGCTGTCGCTGGCTACGTAGCCTCTCACGCAGCCATTGACCACTCCCAAGTCGAAGCTCAAGCCAAATACCTCCCCTCGGTTGACGACCTAATTTCCGACGTTGACATCGCCTCTCTTGAGGCTGCCGGTGTCTCCGCATCCTCATCTACCGCGGCCGCAACCGCGGCTGCAATCGCCGGAGCAAGGAAGCGACCCGCAGCCAACAGAGAGGGCGCAGTGAAGCGGATCCGCAAGTCCCGTCTCCCCAAGGACTACGACCCGAGCAAGTCTGCCGACCCAGAACGATGGCTGCCTCTTCGTGATCGATCGACGTACCGGCCCAGAGGTCGCAAGGGCAAGCAGCGCGCTGCAGAGCGGACACAGGGAGGAGTGGTCAGCGAGAAATCGGAAGAGACTACGCCGTCTGGAAATCAGCAGCAGAAGCCCCAAGGTGGTGGTGGGGGTGGTAACTCGAAGAAAAAGAAGAAGGGAAAACGGTAGATTATTGTGCATGCCTGCTGGTCAACGGTCTATCAGCTTAGGCTTGCAGGGCCGCATCATCATTTAGCATCAACATACTTCTACCTAGTTAACGCGGAACGGCATATCAGCTTCAATATACCGTGTACATTACCTTGACGGATAGAAATGTCTATAAGAGCAGAACCCGAAATGCATTCTTATCCAATTAGCGGCACAACACGCCTATTACAAATTAGTTCTCCATCCAACCTAAGCAAACACAACCCAAGAGCGTCATAATCATAAAATATCGTGATTTAACCAAGTGGAGTACGGATTGTTCCACACTGCCGGTTATACTGTTCAAATATCGTCTGGAACAGCTTGATATCCTGTAGTGAATCCTTCGCCGTCGTTTTTGCCTCCTTCCCCTCAACCAAGTAGGCATATAACGCCCTCAACTCCTGCTCGTATGCCTCCTCCCACGTACTCACCGTCTCGGTCTGCATCAACCCTCCGCGCCCATCCGCCTTCTCAACAACGACACGCACCGGCTGCCCTCGTGCGTACGGCAGGTCATAGTGTATCGTTACGGTCTTGTTCTGTCCATATATCGCCAATTGCGCATCGCATCGCGGCACGCCGTCCGTCCCGGCTTCATACATCAACGTAAAGGGGTGGAGTTCGCTCACGCCTCCGTTATAGTGAAATAGCGCGGAGTAGAACGGCTCGTTGACGGAGATATTCGACACCGCATCCGGGTACCCTAGGGTATCTCGCATGAGACCGAGATCGTGACAGCCCAGCGAGGCAAGGAATCGGCTCAGTGCAACGCGCTCTTGGTTCGGTTGTTCGTCTTCACCGAAGATTTCCTCCATTAGGTTGCGGAGACGAGCGATTCTATCTTTGCTGCTTGCTCCTGGTTTCTGGCGGGTTTGGTCTCGTGTTGTGGTATCCTCGTTATAGTGATTATAGCCATTGGTGCCTATACTGAACCTTGGAACTTGCAGGCTATTATTATTGTTGTTGTTGTTGCTGGTAGGGGTAGTGTTATTAGTTGCTGTATGCGCCACGTGTGGCCCGGCAATCATCCTTAACCGCGCATAGTGAATCCTTTCCAACCCAGAAACCTCCTCCTTGAAGACGTTCTCAAAGCAAGGTGCGTATCGCCTGGCGCTCGCAACAAACACCCGGGCCCCATTCGGGGCTTCCCGCTCGGCGTCGAGGATGCGCCTTGCGGAGGGGATACTCAAGCTGACAGGCGTTTCGACCATGACATGCTTGCCTGCTTGGAGAGCGGCGATTGTGTAGAGTTCATGGTACTCATTTGGCATGAAGTTGAGGATGAGGTTTATGGAAGGGGACGTAAGAATTTCATTTAGGCCTGGGGATGGGAATAAAGATGAGGACTCTGGGTCGGAGGAGTATACAGCCTCGATGGTGTAGAGTTTTGGTAGGGCGTTGAGGGCCGGTATGTAAATTGTCTGTACTGGATGGGCTCCTGAAGTTAGGATGCCGACGTGAAGGGGTTCGGCCATATTGGTATCGCAGTGAAGACACTGCTATAGTAGTGCCGCGACCGGTATAGAATGAGTATATTGAAATCTTGGCTTATGGGAAGTGCAAATAGCCTCAGAGACAAGTGACAGGGACAAGTACCGCAGCTGCGCACGGTGTACATTTTTTTCTACAAGGTTTTTGTATCTGAAGGTTGCTTCCACCATGACATCAGAGGTCATCTGCTGACAACTCTGTGTAGCACTGCAGGATTATATCGATTGGTGGTGCACGTCTTGACAACGCTTTGCTTTTGTTTGATTTGAGCGGTATATAGATCCGCGCGGAGTAGTTGGATATGATGACGATGGCGAGGGTACTTTTGACAGTCGGGAATCGGCATCTTATGGCTGCAAAGTAGTGAAGCAGCCCTGCTTGAATATCAGTACCTGAAGGATGAAGACAGGTGGCACCCGGAGAGGTCAACCTTGGGTCATCGGTCTGAAGATTGCTGGTTGATGTCATGGGTGGCATGAGTACGATTCAGCCTTAAGGGAACTGTGGCTGAGCGAGTTTCCAGGACAGTGTGCTACGATGATGGAGTATGATGCTTCGTATCCAGGCGAGGCAGTGTTGAGCTGGCGGGTCTCTTTTGCGATCCCTGGTGGAGCGGTTCCTGAGAGCTGTTTGGATCCGCAGCTGAGCCTTCCATCATCATCATCGGCCGGCCATCTTCTCTTATTTATTCCTGGGCTCTTTTGCCATCACCCATCTTCCCCGGCCTTCCCTTCGCCGTCATCAATTGTTTCTTTTCTTTTTTTATCGACTATAAACCGCCACCATGGGAGTAAGTCTGCCTGTCTTGATATCGTATAAGAGTGCTACCCCGCGCCTTCCTGTTTGCCCCGCTACCTGGCATCTTCCATACCATCATCACTCTTGTCACCTGTGAAACAGAAACAAGAATCCAGCCAGAGAAGATAACTGACTGCTGCAACTTTGCATCATCGGCATAGTTCGCCTCCAAGATCGCCAACGCGCAGATGAACTCCAACTCCGGCTCCGGCGTCTATGGGGGAGCTCCCCCTACCGGATACACGGGCGGCCCTCCTCCTGCTGGTGGATATGTAAGTCCAACATTGGCAATGTTGATGCCTTGCCATCCAGTGTTCACTGCCCCTCTCTCGCTCCAGTTTTTTTGGGCCTCCCAGCTAATGATCGTGATTCCATCTTCAGCAGCAGAAGCCTCAGCAGTCTCAGCAGCAGCAACCTCAGCAGTATCAGGCTTATCCTGGTGGATCGGTAAGCTAGGTTTTTTTTTTCTCGTGGTTTCTTTTTTCCTTTCATCTTTCTGCCACTCGTGTGTGACTCGTTCTTTTGTTTGTTTGCTTGACGTTTTACGTGTTCTTGTCTTCATCTTCGTCACATTATTCATCCACTGCCCCTCATCAGCCCTCCTGTCCGTCCGATTAACGAACTTTCGTCATCCCCTCTTCATTTATTTTCAACCGTCTCCTTTGCAATCTGAAGGCATGTCTCGCCCGTATCCCGGCCAAGGCTATCCTCCTCAAGGACCGCCGCCTAATCAGCTGCGTCCGGGTCCTTCTCCGTCGCCTTATCCGCCATCCCCGCAGCAGCCACAGCAGTACCAGCCGTATCCCCCGGTTCCTCCAAACAAACCTTCGCCTTCGCCTGCGTACTCGGGGGGTCCGCCTCAAGCATATTCTCCGGCACCCTACTCACCACATACGCCGCAGCCCCAGGCCTATTCGCCAACACCCCCCTACGGAGGCGCCCCGCAGTATAGACAGGCCCCTCCTCAAAATTACGCACAAACCCCGCCTCCCACGCAGCCTTATGGAGCGCCCGGACCAAATTATCCCCCGCAGCCACAGCCTTATGTATAGATTGTCCCAAACGCCTCTTCTGTTTTACTTTTTTTTGTCGACTTGGTTATATTTATTGTTGTCTTTTCTTCTTCATCTTCTTTTTTTTCTCAAAACAATGTTATTGACAGAAAGCTAACAAAGAGTGTTACAGTCTTCAGGTTACCCCCCTCAGCCGCCCCAGAACGCGCCCTACCCTCCCCAAAATGCATCTTACCCCCCTGGCCCCCCCGGCCCCCCTGGAGGCCCTCCTCGTCCTCAACAAGGCCCCCCCGGAGGTCAGTTCGGGCCACCTGGCGGTCCCGGCGGCGCACCTGTTGGGCCTGCCACTCCACAACAGCTCGACGCTTACCGAGGGCTCTTGATTGCAACAATTCAAGAGAAAGGCCTTCAGTCTTTCTACCCTCCTGATAAGCTGGATAGGCTGGTACAAGGTTTGTCTAGAGATGGGCCTGCCAAGGTTAACAGGATCGTGAACGAGTTTAATCTGCCTATGGAAATAGCCATGGATGTTATCAAGCTTTCGCTCTATGACATTGTCCTCTACGTTGATGACAGCGGCTCAATCGAGTTCGAGGAGAGAGGCGTGAGAAAGGAGCAGCTGAAACAAATCCTCGGCATTGTTGCGACGGTGGCCTCCACTTTCGATGAGGATGGTATCAACCTGCGTTTCATGAACAACGATTTCATGCAAAACAACATTCGCAACGCGCAAGAGGTGGAACAAGTCATTTCCAATATACGCTTCTCCGGCATGACGCCATTAGGGACTGCGCTGAGGGCCAAGGTGCTTGAACCCATGATCATAGGCCCGGCAAGAGCCGGTCGCCTGCAGAAGCCGGTTCTGGTCATCACAATTACCGATGGACAGCCAGCTGGAGAATCCCAGGATGCTGTGTCGCAGGGAATTCGCAACACTGTTGATGAGGTTTCGAGGACTCCGTACGGGCGAGGTGCGGTTGCGTTCCAGTTCTCGCAGGTTGGAAATGATACCAGGGCCCGCGACTTCCTCGGTAGTCTGGATGAAGATCCCAGCATTGGTGGCTTTATTGACTGCACATCCAGTAAGTTCAAAAGCGTTCTTAGGAATGATGATGCATGAAATAACAAGATTGCTAGATTTCGAGGTCGAGCAGGACGAAATGTCGCGTGCTAACCCACCTGTCCACTTGACTCGTGAGCTGTGGTGCGCGAAGCTGATGCTTGGTTCTATCGATGCCTCCTACGATGTCAAGGACGAAGCCAGCAGTGCTCCACCCCGTCCAGGGCCTCCTCCGGGTCAGTTCAGTGGTTACAGCCAACCTCCCGCACCAAGCTACGGATCGTCTGCGCCCTTCAACCCGGGACAACAGGCCTACAGTCCCGCACCCTACCCCCCATCTAGCCAAGCACCAGGTGGCTATGGGCAGCAACCACCATACGGACAACAGCCACCATATGGGCAGCAACCGCCATACGGGCAGCCACCGCAGGGACAGCCGCCGCAACCTTATGGCCAGCCGCCGCAACAACCTCCACAGCCTTATGGTCAACAGCAGTACGGTCAGCCACCGCAGCCCCCGTATGGACAACGGCCTCAGGGTCCTCCGTCTGGTTACCCGGGACAGCAACCCCCTTACGGGCAGCCGCCTAGATATTGAGTAGGTGGGCAGGGGCGAAATAGTTAGAGCGGTTGAGTGAACGACTGTAACCTTTATGATGATTTTTCTTTTGCTTGTTGTCGTGTCTGCTACCCAAGCATGTTCTGTAACAGGTTTGCCGCGGTGGCAAAGGGACGGAATGGGGAGTAGATAGGGCCCCAAGAGCATTGTTTTGTTGACCCATGATTGTTACTCAAATGAAAACGCGATATGAATTTTAAACAACGTTGTTGATGTCTCAGGCGCAGGTAAGGAGCGCGCTGGAGATCATGTGATGAGTTCGTAGGACAAGCGGCCGGTGCCAATTTTAGCGGCGGACCGAACTGCGAGATGGAAGTTTCTCCGACCGGCCAAGGCCCTACTGCACACTCCAGTGCCCCGCAGGCCCTTCGACTGCGCGGCCATGGGTTTCGCGAATCGAGAAGCCTCAAAAAGCGCCTCAGGCAGAGTCTGAGGATGAGCCAGCAAACGAGAGGGATGGTTGGCAAATAAATCGATAGGATGTGGGAACAGCTGGGGACGAGACCCTGAGGCAGTGCAGAGGCAGGCAGCAGAATCTGGACGGCGGTGGGCCACTGACAGCCAACTTAATTATAGTAGCTAATATGGCGGCGATGGCGACGCTTGCGGAGAAATTCCCAGCAAACACCTCTCAGGCCGCAACTTCGAAGCCTCGCACGCAATAAGAAAAGTCACAAGAGACTGCACCCTGTAGACTCGACTGACTTGACTGGGTTGCCACAGGACTCGCGGGTGCCTGGCAGAACCGTTGGAAAATTAGAGTATGGGCTGGTCGCCTCCACCGACTCCAACAAGGTTACGCGGTGTCCAACGAGGGCGCTTCTTTGGCTGTGGTTCGAGATCCAAGACTGCGCCCGCCCAGCCTGAAACTGGGGTTTACGTTGCCTCAGACCTGGCGGGCTGCCTCAAGTTTCGACAATTCAATTCTTCCTTCCTTCCACTCCGCTATAGTGCCTTTTTTTTCGTTTTTTTGTTGCTGCGTATACTGTCGTTGCCGTTGTTCGCTTGTTGACTTGTTGGTCCCGCCCCGGTCGGCTGATTCCGACGACTGTTTTCGGTCACCACCATTTTTTTGCCTTTGGACACTGCTTTTGTGGTGCCTCGCCGGCTGCAAACGTGGTCATTGCTGCGAGACAGCCCCTTCACAGCTCTGTTTATCTGCTTCAATCTCCCTTATTTCGTCCGCCTATTATCTTGCTTTTCGCATTGTGAAGGATGAATTCAATTACTCGCCAAACGTCTTAAATAAACACCGCCGATCAGCGCCTCGTACATCCGATCGATTGTTGACGAAGAACTTGAGATCGAGGCGGTCTTACTGGTCTGAAGGACGGGAGAACAAAGAGATCACTTATACTTGCATATATCCGGACCAGGAGCTATTAACGTCGTCATGTCTCAGCCGTACGGATCGCCAGATTCAAACCAGGACACCGATCAGTCGCGCATACCTGAAAGCCAACCTTCCTCCGATGCGCCCTCACAAATTCCTCCCCGGCCGACGCAGCCTTTGCGGAGCAATTCTCTGCTCACGGCAGCTCCAGAACGACCGTCGCTCTCACCGTCGCGAACACTGTCGGACTCGGGAAGGAGGTCATCACAACACCAACATGTCCGATTTTCAACAGACTTGGAGCGCGCTGCCGTGGAGGAACAAAATAGACAGACTCAGCGGGATCGGCGGCCTTCTTCTAGAGGACTTTCAATAGACACAAGTATCGCCAATCCCCAGGGTCTTTTGTCTCCCACATCCCCCGACGCCAACCGCGCAACACGCTCCTCCCTTTCTCCGCGCTCAGCGCTCTCTCCTACATCTCCGCAGAGCCTGGATAGTGCTGGCCGCTCCCGCTCCCGAAATCGTGGATACTCGCTGCGCCGAACGATCTTTGCGAAGAATATCGAATCGCAATCGACTCCCTCATCACCCGTTGAACTAGAACACGTTACCAAGACGGAACCGGAGGAGATTGCGGAGGAGGAGACGGCACCCGGTCCTGCTGCGAAAGATTCGATCGAGAATGAGAAACAAGACGCCGTTGTCACGCAAAAGTCGACATCGGCCTCGACTTCTACAGAAAATGGCCTCACCACATTTTCCTCCGATCAGGCGGATCTCAAAGAGGGCAGGAACCTTTCTACAACTCTATCCTATGAACGATGGCTCAAAAGGAGAGCCGCTATCAGTGATTTAAAGATTCGCGCGGTGTGCATTCTCGAAACCATTCGCAAGACAGTTCTTCGGATAAAGACAATTCCACCTAGCAAAGATGGCCGCCATATTGACCTCGATCCTATGCGAACGGAAGTTTTAATTGATGAGCGAACCGGGAAGCCATACGCAGAGAATTGGATTCGGTCTAGTCGCTATAGTTTATGGAGTTTCTTCCCTCGCCAGTTCTTCGCGCAATTCACTAAGCTAGCCAACTTCTACTTCTTGGTGGTTGCTATCCTGCAAATGATCCCTGGCTTGAGTACAACAGGTCAGTTCACCACCCTGGTGCCACTTCTTATCTTTGTTGGTATCTCCATGGGCAAGGAAGGGTTCGATGACTGGCGCCGCTACCGACTGGACAAGGAAGAAAACAACCGTTTCGCTTCGGTACTCCGCCCAGGGTCGAATGTGTTATCTCGGTCTGTCACCGGGGAAACCGCATCCATTTCGAGCGAGACACAGGATTGGCATTCGGTTAAGTGGAGCGATATCAAAGTAGGTGATGTGATTCGACTGGAACGCGATCAACCCATACCTGCAGACTTGGCTTTGCTTCACGCAGACGGGCCTAATGGTGTGGCTTACGTGGAAACCATGGCGCTGGATGGGGAGACAAATCTCAAAAACAAACAACCATGCCAATCCGTGGCAAAATCGTGTGGAACTGTGGAGGGTATCTGTGGCACCTCGATACACTTTGCCGTGGAGGATCCCAATCTGGATCTGTATAAATTTGATGGAAACGTGACGGTGGCTGCCGGAGAGAAAACGCCGTTGACCAACAATGAAGTTCTGTACCGTGGTAGTGTCCTTCGTAACACCGAACGGGCAGTGGGAATGGTTATCTACACGGGCGAGGAGTGCAAGATTCGCATGAACGCCAATAAGAACCCTCGCATCAAAATGCCTTCTCTCCAGGGCAAGGTCAACCGAGTCGTCATGCTCATCGTCCTTTTGGTGGTGATGTTGGCTGGCGCCTGTACCATTGCGTATAAGTTCTGGTCAAGGGATGTTGAAAGCCGCGCTTGGTACCTACAGGAGGCCAACGTGAGCTACGGACCCATTTTCACTTCGTTCCTGATCATGTTCAACACGATGATTCCAATTTCACTTTATGTGAGTATGGAAATCGTTAAAGTGGCCCAGATGCTCATGCTGAACGCCGACATCGACATGTACGATCCCGAGTCTGATACGCCGCTTGAAGCCCGGACATCAACAATCAACGAGGAACTCGGCCAAGTCAGCTACGTTTTCTCTGACAAAACTGGAACATTGACAAACAACACCATGCGTTTCCGGAAAATGAGTGTGGCTGGAACTGCGTGGTTCCATGATTTTGATCTCGTCGATGAAGAAGGAGACCGAGAGAAGTTGATCCACAAAAAGCGGAGCGCCAAAGGAAAGAAAGCGATGGCCCGCCAGTCAAACGTATCCGAAGCTCGAAGGTCTGTCGCTAGGCCGTCCATGTCGACCTTCGATGGAGCTCGCAAGCAAGGGTTAACTGTGCAGAACACTCGAACTACTGATATGCTCAAATACATCCAGCGCAAGCCATACACTGTCTTCGCTCGGAAGGCTAAGATGTTCATCCTCGCCATGGCTCTTTGCCACACCTGTCTTCCCGAAGAGGACGAATCCGGCAACAAAACGTTTCAGGCTGCCTCGCCAGATGAGCTTGCGTTGGTCACGGCCGCCCAAGAGCTAGGGTATTTAGTTCACGACCGACAACCAGATACATTGACAGTGAGGACATTCCCCAATGGGCCAGAAGCGGCACCTGTCGACGAGGTTTACGAGATTATGGATGTGATTGAATTTTCCAGCACCAGGAAGCGCATGTCAGTTGTCGTTCGGATGCCAGACCGACGGATTTGCGTGTTCTGCAAAGGTGCTGACGGCGTGTTGATGAAGCTTCTAAAGCGGGCTGCTCTTGCCCAGGAAAAGGTGAACGACATTGAGCGCCGCGCGAGCAAGCGCAAGGCAGCCGAAGCGAGTCAGGTCATGAGGAGGAACAGCGAGTACCGCGGCCGCAAGGACAGCGGTGTCCGCAGCAGTTTCAGCCGACCGAGCATGACGCATCGCCGCTCTAGTGTTTCTGGTAGACATGTGTCTACGTTGAGAGACAGCATTGATGTCTGGCTTCGTGATCGCGAGACGGACGGCGGTCTCTTGCATAGAAACAGCGACGTTGAGTACTACAGCCCTAGACCTTCTGCCCAGTTAGGGCGGCAGTCAACCACGCTGTCCGACTCCGGTAGCTCTATTCACGATGATGAGGATGAGGAGCTAGTGGAGGAGGCTCTAGTGGTCAACGAAGCTGCTGTTTTCGAGCGCTGCTTCCAGCACTTGAACGATTTTGCGACGGAGGGACTCCGAACCCTGCTATACGCCCACAGATACCTGGACGACGCAACTTACCAAGAATGGAAGCAAGCGTACCACGAAGCTTCCACCAGCCTTGTTGACCGTCAGCAGCGAATTGAGAAGGTCGGCCAACAGATTGAACAACAGCTCGAGCTGACTGGTGCTACCGCCATTGAGGACAAGCTTCAAAAAGGCGTTCCAGAGGCAATCGACAAGCTACGTCGAGCAAACATCAAGTTGTGGATGCTTACCGGAGACAAGCGAGAGACGGCCATCAATGTTGGTCATTCCTGCCGCCTAGTGAAGGACTACTCTACCCTCGTGGTTCTTGACCAGGAAATGGGCAATGTGGGACTATCGATTGAGGAGCTGACCGCGAACATCACAAGTAAAAAGGTTGCTCACTCCGTGGTTGTCGTTGATGGCCAAACTTTGTCCATGATTGAAGGGGACGATGCTCTTCGTGCACCTTTCTTCAGGCTTGCTATTCTCGTCGACTCCGTTATTTGCTGCCGTGCCAGCCCGAAGCAGAAGGCTTTCTTGGTGAAGTCGATTCGTCAGCAAGTGCAGGATTCAGTCACTTTGGCAATCGGTGATGGAGCCAATGACATCGCCATGATCCAGGAGGCTCACGTTGGCATTGGTATCACAGGTAAAGAGGGTCTCCAGGCCGCGCGCATTTCGGACTACTCGATCGCGCAATTCAGGTTCTTGCTGAAGCTACTTCTGGTCCATGGGCGGTGGAACTATATGCGGGCATGCAAGTATACTCTAGGAACATTCTGGAAGGAGATGTTGTTCTACCTTACGCAAGCTCTCTACCAGCGATGGAACGGATACACTGGGACGAGCTTGTACGAAAACTGGAGTCTTAGCATGTTCAACACCCTCTTTACTTCCTTGGCTGTTATTTTCCTGGGTATCTTCACGAAGGATCTTTCTGCGTCAACCCTCCTCGCCGTGCCAGAACTTTACACCAAGGGCCAGCGGCATGAGGGCTTCAACATCCGACTCTACCTCGGTTGGACATTCATGGGCACCTGCGAAGCAATGCTCGTCTACTTTATAATGTTCGGCCTCTTTGGCAGCGCTCTCTTCACAACAGGTAACATCAACGACGTTTTCTCCACTGGTCTCCTCACCTTCTCGGCCTGCGTTATCATCATCAACACCAAGCTCCAAGTCCTTGAAGTGCACAACAAAACCTACCTCTCCCTTGCAGTCTTCATCATCTCCGTCGGGGGCTGGTTCCTCTGGAACATGATTCTCTCTAAGCAATATGACACCAAATCCGGCGACGGGATCTACCACGTCCGCTCTAACTTCCTCTTGCACTCCGGCCACGATCTCGCCTTTTGGGTTGTGCTTCTCATCACCGTCGTGGCGGTGCTAATCTTCGAGATTTCCGTTTCTTCGCTCCGCGCCAATCTCTTCCCCGCAGACGTCGACATCTTCCAGGAGTACGAGAAAGATCTAGATATCCGGAAGCGCTTCGAGGAAGCTGCCGCCTCAGAACTCCAACAGGGCTGGGACCACGGGAAGAAGAGATCCAGCTTCGAGATCGCGCGTGAGGAAGAAGAGATGGAGGCTCGCGAGAAACACGTTGCGGAACTCCTGGCAAGACCTAGAGTTATGAGCGATGCGAACAAGAATGACTCCTCTCGCGGCGTATACGTTGAGTCTACCTCTGTTTCGGCATCTGCTTCAGCTTCAGCCTCGGCATTTGGCGGATCAACCCGCGAGCAAGAGCAAGCCGTTCTGTCTGATGGCGAGACAGCCCAGAGCAACCAAGGGGGAGCTGCGCGCAGACGCTCAGTGGAGATCCATGAGCTCTTCAATAAGGGATACGGGGCAATTAGGAAGGGTCATCTCAAGTGATCGAAAGCCTTTCCTCCCATATCCGACTCTTACTATTACTGCTACTACTGCCACTGCTACTGTATTTCCTTTCGTTTTCCTTCCTTTTAGAACATTGTTGCGCTTTTGTTGCATATGGCGTTTGAGAACGTATACCCCTCGGCTGTTCCATCCAACTTGTCGCTCCTTTTTATGTTGTTGGTTTTGGATGCGTTTCGTGTATAGTGAGTGAGTGATTGCCTACTATTTAAGGAGGCACTTGTTTATTATACCCATTGTGGTAGATTATATTGTATTATAAGGGGAAGATGAAGAGGACGAATATCAGCAATTATATTCTCTTGATCCATATCTTTTGAATGGTTAAACTCGTAGACAGGTCTCAACTTCAAAAGAGAAATTGGTGGAAGTCAAGACTCATCCGATCCGAGAATACGCCGACATGAATGTCTTATAGTGCCTACTTTAGTGCTGCCCCAAGTAGATCTGCCGGTATCCAGGCGTGAAGTATTTTCTTAGAGTCCCGTGTGGTCTATCGTCCGAGGCCATCTTCTTAACAAGACTCCGCTGCAGGTAAGTCACTACCGCCTATTTGGAGCTTTCAAGGTCATCCGAGACCGTGTGATTAAGACCATCACAGCAGCAAGTTCCAAACACGCTGCGGGACCGGCGTGAAAACACAGAGCTGGTCCAGTTGGAACGCGTCACTGCAGATGGAGTAACCTGGCTTCGGGATTGGGATGGCGATTGGAGAAAGCTATCTAGATATTCATGATACGTATCTTAATGTCCGACTTTGCCTCACAGGGATCTTCGTGATGTAGTTGTTGAAGTTGCACTGCACTCTGCACCCACCTTGTAGTGGCTGGCTGGCGATCAGCTTGATAGACATTGTCACGGGTTTTGTTCACTGTTCACCGGGAAATTAGTTCAGCTTGGGATGAAACAAAAACTGAATACCTGAACACCTCCGCAGTGAGTTGATAAGTTCCCACAGACGTTACAGCCTGAGTTTGATCTGACGGTTCGCCAGATCATGGATAAGAACCGGATCAGCGGCGAGACAACACTAACTACGTATCGAGAAGGAGATAATCCCCGATGGAATCCAGCAGCCGAGAGCATATCGAGCCGACGGGCTCCAGGCACAATGTGGCAGCGAAATACCATGGTTCAGAGCGCGAATACCAATTGGAATGATTGATGTGATTCGAGGCTGAATCACGCCAAGGCATTCTGCATCTTAGCTGTTTTATGTTGATTACATCGCAAAAGCGCACGAGAGTCTAAGATCGTGATGTCCGAAGCGGCTTCGTTCTGATCCACCTAGCCCCGGAGATGTTGCTCCGTTTTAATATATTATATAGGGCGACCGACGAACTGGTTTGGACCGACGATCTGGGCTTGGATGAAGATTCTCGATCGATCCACACTGGGTGTTGAGACCGGATGAGACACTCAGGAGTCGGGCTTGCCGGGAATGTCGGAAGCACCTCCAACTTGTGAAACAACTGTTGCACGCACTGCCTTTCTCCTGTCCAGCAGGATTCCTGAAGAGCGGTGACGGCAGAGTGTTGGAGTGAATGTGTGCCTGGACCTTGCAGCTTGTGAAATGCAGGTCGCCCAGTCAGATGCTGACCTCAGCCTCAGCAGCCAATGGAAAAAGTCAAACTGCGCACGGATCATCAGTGGGCAAGGGTTTCAGCCTAACCACATTAGGTAGGTAGATTACTGGCCCGCCTCCACGCTTGCCGTACGGGGTGGTTACGAGCCTTACATCCAAGGACAAGGTAAGGCATAAGTATGAGACCAGGCCCGGTGGCAGGAACATGGGAAAACAGTCTCACACGGTGTTGGCAGTGTAGCGCCTTGCTGGAGTGCCTCCGCTTGAGGAGGCAGTTCAAAACTTGCAAGTTGAAGAGCACGAGGCGACGAAACACACCCCCACCGCTGGCGCTGTCAGTTCCCAGGCACTCCAAGCCACTGAGCCAATGGCAAGCCCGCGGGTGCGGGTACCTGGATTCAAACCTTGAAAACCACCGGCTCGGGCGGAGTTTAGAGCGAAAAAACGAAGCAGAACAAGAATAGAACAGCCAGACAGGTCGCGACCGTCCGGGTACCGTGGAACGGAACTCTGCGCCTGCAAAGCGTGGCTGTTCCTGAATCCTCGCAGGCTCGCACCCGACCCCCCCCACCAGATGCTAACTCCTAACAGTAACGCTTACCCAGTGCCCATGCTGGAAATCAGTGGATAAAAACTAGGGAACCACAAGCGTGGCTGTTGCCTTTGGCCCCTGGCGTCCGAGGCTTTTCAGCTCGTACTTTTCCGACTCCGTACCCAACTCCCGGGAAGAGGCTTGACGGAGTTGACTCTTTGGGTCCCTGACAGCGCGCGCGCGTGTCATTTGTCCGTCAGCGTTCGAAACCGTTTTGGAACGAGCCCGGGTCGGGTGGCCTTTGTTTTCTGACTGCTCACGCGAGATCATAGATAGTTTTCCGGTAGTGGGTGGATATTATTGACTCGGTTGCTAGATTGGGAAGGAAGACTCAACCCTGTACCCATTGGATTGGATTTGGCGTTCGGATTGGCGTTTGGAGTCAATCATGGCTCGAGCGGCCATGCAACAGACGGATTTTGTCAGGGTCGGCCGTTAGAGGCTTGGAGTTGGAGCATTGCCAGTTGATCGGGGGCCGTCGTGTCGCAGGCCAGCCATCCGATCATCCGATGAACTGGTTGGTGGAGAGCAGTCTGACATGGAACAGGCTTCTTGCCTGAACGCTGACGCCGCCGAGTGAGCGGCAGCAGCCCAGAAAGTTCGTGTTCCAGGATCGCCTGAACAGACGTGAGGTGCGTCCCTGGCTCCCGACAGGAATCGCCAGCAAGCCATCGGGCAGCATACCGAGTAAGGAGACGCAGCTGATGCAGGGGCAGCAGCGGTGCCATTGGCTGGGCGGTATTCAGTTGTTTTCCCACGTCGCAAGCGAAACGAAGACGAATGCTCTTCGAAGACCTGGCGATGGCTTGCACCCGTTTTGATGCTGGATGCTGGATGATGGCATTCAAATGATTCAATAGTGATTCAAGGCTACTGCCCGAACTAGTAGAGTCAAGATTCAAACCGTCACTGCCCCGTCCGGTTTGACTTTGAGCCACCCTGTTTGGCTTACGAATACGTTCCTGATACCGTACCGTACGCCCCGCCCAAGCCTACCAGCCACGAGTTCAGCAGCGCTAGTCCCGGTGGGGAATAGCGATCCCCAGACCAAACCGCTTTGGGCGGCACATCTCCTGACTGAGAGCGCAGTGTTGAGCGAGCGCTCTGCGGCGGTCACCACCACGAGGAACTGGTCTGGCCGACTCTCCCTCCACTTCGTCTGTCGCTTCTCCTCCTTTCCTCTTCCCCTTCCCTCCCCCATCCCATCTTTTCCATCATTGCTGTTTTTCCTTTTCACATTCATTCATTAGATTCATTCTTTTTTTTACTTTTACTCTCTTGTCTCGTCCGTTCCACTCTTTTACGGTCGATTCTACCCACTCTTTTCGCGTACCCCAGGTCGGTGTGATCGCTCATTTGTCACCCTCACCAACACCTCCAGACAAACAGTCAGCCAGACAGACAGATCAGCTTGTTGTATTGCACTCCAATGCTCTTTTGATCCCAAGTCTATCGAATTACACTGCTTCTACGGTCGCGAAGAGTCATCGCCGTTCTCTTCGTCAACAAAAGCTGCCTTGGCCAGCTTCACCTTCTTTCGACATTTATATAACTTCTACGCTTCTGCGACGCGCTCATCGGTCAGCTTTGCGTCTGGGCAATTCACTCCCAGCCAAAGCCCATCCATTCTTTTGATTACATACCAATCCTCTAGCGCTTGACGCAGCTGGAGACATTTCAGACCATCCCCAACCAACTGTTTGACTGTCGGCCGGGTCGTCATCTCAATCCCTTCGCTCCCTCGACCATATCCAACTCTGGTCGTATCTCCTTTTACCACTGTTTCTCACTACCCTTCGTCCAATCCCTGCAAACATGTCTGCGACAGGCACTCCCGACCCGTCGACAACCGTTTCGATCTCCGCGACCGCGGCTGCGCACACAACTTCACCCTCATCGGCCGCCACAACCCCTTCTCCATCCACTTCTAGTGCTACGACCGCCCCTTCCACATCAGCTCGTCGTCCTCAACGGAAAAGCACCCTCACCCAACAACAAAAGAACAATAAGCGCCAACGGGCGACTCAGGACCAGCTAGTTCTTCTCGAGGTGGAATTCAACAAGAACCCTACCCCCACGGCTGCCACACGAGAAAGAATAGCGCAGGAAATAAATATGACTGAGCGTTCCGTCCAGATTTGGTTTCAGAACAGGTTCGTATTCACTCATCCAACAGCCTGTTTGCTCTTGGCTGATACAATATTGCAGGCGCGCAAAAATCAAGATGCTTGCGAAGAAGAGCATCGAAACCGGTGAAGGTTGCGACTCTATTCCCGAGTCGATGCGCCAATATCTAGCCATGCAATTCGATCCCGCCAAACCGGGTTCTCGAGACCCCTTTGGCCGGACTGGCGGATATGGAACCAGTGGTGCTTTCCCCAATGAGCCAACCCCCACAGGCAAAGTCGGTGAGTACTCGATATTGCTGCCGATTCAAATCCCATATAAACTTGCTGACGATGATAGTGATTCACCATTTTACCTGTCGATCCCTGACAATTGGAAGTTGGAGGCGCATCGGACAAAATGCAATGGACCTTGTTGTTTTCTACTCTCCCGAAAAGGCGTGCATGACATACTACATAAATAATGATGCGGCTGGGTACAAGATCGAGTATCCTTTTGCTTACATCAAGAACATCACGTTAGAGTCGGGCGATCAGGGGCCGCAACCCAACGGTGCGCCTGCTCGTCCTACCGGCCTGGTCGTTGAGTTGAACCGACCGCCCCTCTTTTACATGGATTCCTCCAACTCCGGGGGGTTCTACCAGTGTGGCGACTTTACGGAGGATCAGCAAGCAAGTTCGATCATGGTACACCGTCTTGGAGGACATCCCAAGGTTCTGAGCGTTCAACTTGCGAAGTTGGTGTCTTTGGAATCATTCCAGAACCGTCTCGCGTACGGGAACTTCCCGTCCAGCGGCCCCATGTCCCCGCCTTTCATTCAACGCCCAGCTTCGCAGCCAAACCAGTTTGCGGCCGGGTTTATGGGTATGTATGCAGAGAACCCAGCTGTGATGAACCTCCAGGCTACCCGTGGACATAAACGGCAACGGAGCCGCTCCGTCCCCGTGGCAGTCGATTTCTCTACATTGGGAGCGCCAATGACGCCGTTCAGCATGCCACAAGCGCCACAGTTTAACCAGAATGATTCAAGTATCTACGCCCCGGTACCACAGTCGACACACTCACTTGCTACGAACCTTCGCATTGATACATCTTCTGGCTATGCGTTTGATCCCCGCACCCATCCCATGTCGGCTACCACCACAACTGCGTCTCCGTCCGATTTCGCTAGCCCTGCCCTCTTTAGCTCAGCACCCCAAGGAGATTCGACACCGGTGGCTGGAAACCTAGGAAGTCAGTTCACTCTGCCGTTTGTGTCGCCTGCTGTTGAGTCAGGAGTAGCCACCCAGGCTGCTTCCCCATACTCGAATGTGAGCCACGTCGATCCCATGATCGCCAATCATTCCCCTCCCTTGACAAGCATGTCACACACGCCACAAGACATGTATAACATGGGAAACGAGCACCAGACCAACTATACCGAGGATGGTCTTCCCATGGGTGGGATGTTCAAGCACATGAATTTCCCGGTACCTACATCAATGGGCCTTGAAAGCAACACATACGAGATGCCAATGCACCCCATGTCTGGGCACAATTCACCCGGAATCCAAGGTGAATATCATCAGGGCATGACATTAGAAAACGTCGATCCAAATGTTTTGACTCCCGGCTCATGAACAATGGCCCGGGCCTTTGTCATTTGTTCTCCTTGTTTTTGCTATCTGGCTTTGCCCGTCGGATTGTAGTTTCTGAAAATATGGAACCACGAAAGGCTTCGCGTCCCGGAAATTCCGGCGAGCATCATCAACTGAAGCACCTCTATAAATAGTGGAAATATCGGCAGACTGTCGATACTTCGTCTGCGGACGAAGAGGGGTATATCTCATATCTCTTTTGTTTGTGGCATATGGTCCAAGCATCTTCACTTTTGTTTTGTATTAATATCCTTCGACTACGCGGCTGGTCCTTAGCGATTTTTTGAAGCTGACTTGTTGTTGGCACTTTTTTCTTTTTCTTTTTCTTTTTTTTCTTCCGCCTTCTTGCTTTCTGGTTTGCCCTTGACCTTTATGTTTTCTTCTTCTTCTATTTTTTGTTCCTCTTCTATTTTTCTGGATTTATTTACTTTGATATACCTGGTCAGGGCATTTAACGCGGTCATGCAAGAAAGTCGGACTAAGATGGTGATTATTCCCTTTTGCTTTACAGATCGGCGGGTTAGGAAATGTTTGCATATTCCCTTTGTGATGGATCTTTTTTTGTGTTTTGAGTCCTTGAGTCTGAGTTTCTGATCTCTGCATTTCTACTGCATTGGCTTGTTTAATTTGCTTTACAGGAGCTGAAATATTCTCCTACGGCGAGTGGAGGTTAGTACAGTGTTAATTTACAGGATTCACTCACATTTCCTTTTAATAACGTACAAGGGTATCATAACATGCGCTCTTCCGTAGTACCAAGTAATTCAAATCACTATGTCGACTTGGAACCCCCAGGCACCGGGGCCTTCAACCCCCTCGACTCCCTCAAATACCGCTCGATCCAACTTTCCATCTTCTCGAGCACATTCTTCTGGCCCTTGGTCACCTCCTCCCCGACTCCGTCGCGACACCAAACACTCCACGCACCCATCTCCTTGGCCATAAGCACATCAGTCCCCAACCGATCCCCAACAACCGCAATCTCATCAGCGCGCTGCACAACCCCACGCTCACGGAACCAGTCCAGCACCTCCGCCCCGCAGAACGGCTTCTTCTCGACAGCAACCCCATCTTTCGACTCCGACGGTAATCGAAAGACAGGGATCTTGAGGCCAGCAAGCCGTTCTTCGATCTCGAGCGCCTCGGGCTCGTAGCGCGGATGCGAGCCTGCGCGGTTCGACACGATGAGGATAGAGTTTGGCGCAGATGAGATATTGAAAGGCGATGTTGGTGAGTTGCGGAGTGAGTGTAGATGTGCGTAGATCTTCGATGGGAAGGATGTCGTCTTTGCGGGGCATAGTGTGTTGTCCTTGTCCAGGATTAGGGCGCGGATTGCTATCCCCTTTGGTGGGGGTTGGCCTTTTTCATTTTGCTGGCCCGCTTTGGAAGATACTGCCGGGTACTGAGCCTCCAGTAAGGGCCCAATTGCCTCGGGGAGATGGGTGAATGTTGGGACTGTGAGGTGTGGGAGGAACTGGGAGGGTGTTGATAGGAGGGTTTGTACGGCGAGGTTGAAGGCGCGAAGATTGCTGTTTGGGGGGTTCATATTGGGCCTGAATCCCCCGGTCTATCTGTCCAGAGAATATAAGGGTTTGAGCTGCTATGGTGGCATGAGTAGAAAGCCTGTAGTGACGAGGGTGATATGAAGGTGAAGATGGCGGTCTCACTCTCCGGATGTCTTGGCAAAAACTTCAACGCGGACCAAATCCTCCGCCATCGACTCCGCGACAATTTGACAACCCTCGCCTCTACCCCTCGCTCTTCGACCTGTCCACCGGCGGAACTCTACACCTTCTTTCTTTTTTACCGAGTCGCCGATCCCTTTTCAGTCTCGCACACAATCCGCCAAAATGGGCAAGCTAACCAGCACAATCGGTATCCCGATCAAGCTTTTGAACGAAGCGCAGGTACGCTCTGTCCCCAGCACAGCTGCGAATCACACAACAAGACAAGATGTCGCAGGAAATGGATAGAGAAATATTTCTAACACCTTATAGGGCCACGTTGTCACGCTCGAAATTACCTCTGGCGTCGTGTACCGCGGGAAGCTCCTCGAGGGTGCGTTGCATTCTTCCCACATCAATCCCTCTCAATCCTCTGGGATAAACCTGATACTAACCTTATAACCTTCAATAGCTGAGGACAACATGAACGTTCAATTGAAGGACATCACTGTCACAGCGCGCGATGGCCGCGTCTCGCATCTCGACCAGGTCTACATCCGCGGTAGCCACGTGCGGTTCTTCATTGTGCCGGATATGCTGCGGTGCGTCTTATTCCAATATATATCTCATTTACTAGGAGGGCTGAAGCTAATCTGGATCTTTTTTAATAGAAATGCCCCCATGTTCCGCTCACGAGGACAGCGCGGCCGAGGTGTTGGACTTGCGCGTGGTAAGGCGACGGTGCAGAGAGCCAGGGGACAACGAAGAGGTTAGACTGTTGGTAGTGAGGGGATACGGATCGGAATCTGGTCTTGCCGGCGTTGGTGATTCTTTTTTTTCATGTTTGTCTTCTTTCAAATGGTACCATGTGAGCTTGTGGGACAGATAAAATCGTACAATTTGAATGGGTATTCTTGAAGTGGTAGATCCTCTAGGCCTATATTCTAGCTTGAACAACCAAGTTCCTTTTCTAGAGCCTTTAGTATATTCTTGTCAATGGCTTTGAATTATGTCGTTGGCTACCAACTTGTCATCAACTGTAGATCCCGTGGACTTGGAGCTTCGACTCTCCGCCACCTCCGCATCAACCACAAAATCAAAAACCAACCAAAGTCCCCAACATTTCACCTAACAACGACCAAATAAACCAGCTTATTTCTATATCTGTTATTCAGTTAATACTAATTAGCACCAACACTTTCCTCCCACACAAGACAAACAAAGCAAGATGTCAGCCACAGAGCCAAAAGACAAATCCAGCTCGAAACAAGAAATCCGCAACCCCCGCCGTCTCCTCATCCTCTCGCCCTCCTCACACGCACATTCAATTATCCCTGCCCTCTTAAAGACTCTCACGGGGCACGCCCCAGACGAAACCCAGATCCAAGCGCAGAGTTTCGCCGGCTACACGACGCACCCGCCACTACGGATCGAGAACCGGTATTACACCGCCGACGTTCCAGTTTGGGTTGACGAGATCCCGGCTATTGCTGAGGGGGATAAACAAGAATCAGAATCGAAATCGAAATCGAAACAGGGGGGAAGTAAAGAGGAGGGCACAAGCTCTGGATTAGATCAAGAACTCGGTGCTTCGGCAGCGTCAACAGGAGAAGAGGACCCATCGACCCAATGGTCTCGCGAGTTCTCTGGCGCCGAGGCGCGCGTTGTGCGCGATGCAATTGGCGCCGTTATGATCTGTATCCGGAACCCGGGTCCATTTCCGAGTCCGGTGCCCGGTTCTGCAGAGACAGGGGCGGTTGAGGATTCCGAGGAAGTGCGTGCGTTGAAGGCGTTTGTTACTGCTGTTGGGGGCGTGCGTGCGCTGATTGAGGAGGAGCGCGGGGAGATTGGCTCTGTGCCGGCTTTATTGGTTCTGGGTGGTAAACAGAAGAAAGAGAAGCCGAAGAAGAAGGATGCGGATGAAGGGGTGGATGAGCTTGACGGTAGCCTGGATGAGCCATTCTCTATTGGATGGTGGGAAGACCAGCTGTGCGAGATGGGATTGATAGGGTTTGAGGTTGTTAAGTGGGACGGAACACCGATTGAGCAAGAAGGGGAGGAGAGGAATGAATATGGCGGTATGTTTACGTGCCTTGTTAGCATATATGGGAAGGTTTCTAACGAGAGCAGAGCTTCAGGGTATGCGCCGAGTAAAGGAAGTGCTCGAGACGCACGAGTGGGCTGGAGATGAGGAGCCCGACACGGGTCTCCCAGATGACGTTGACGATCTAGAGCGAGAGCTTCTTAGTATGGACGAAAAAGACAATGGGTTTAACAAGGAAGTGGACGAGCTCGAACGGGAGATGGTGGGATTGCGCTTCGCAATAGGGCGCGGAGGTGGGGATGCAAATGATAATGACGATGGATGGGACAATGACGAGCGTCAAGGAGACGAGGAGATGCGAGTGGAATCTGTCGAAGCGCTCTTGACCCGCATGCGAGCTATAAAAGGTGGGAGTCTCCTTGATCTACTATAAAACCTCTGGGTTTGCCGTGACTGACAAGCCCAGATATGAGCGATGAATTACCGGAACAGGACAGGAAGCGCTTTGCGGCGAAGGCAGTGCGGGATATCATGAAGGACATTTAGCTTCTCAGCTGATCTGACATTAAGTTATCATACTTTGCAGCGGCATTATGCGCATCGCATCGCCTCTTATCTCGTCAATACCCAACTTGCACCATAGACCGGTCTATTATACAAATACACGCATATATTGTGATTTCCACAGCTCTTCCTCCAATTACTCCTTCTTTCCCTCCTTTGTCCCCTCCTTCTTCGCACCCGCAGTCTTCCCCCTCTGCTTGATCATATGGGTATACATCACATACGAACCTAAACAAATCAATCAGCAAAGTCCAAAAAAAATACCAGAACTGAGATAAACATACCAGGCACATAGATCACCAAAACAGCGACAATAAACCAGTAATATAGCGGATGCAGCTCCTGCGCACCAGCCAGCCCCTTAACAGCCAACGTACACTCGCTGCTGATTCCAATCGGGTAGAGAACGTAGAACGTATTGTACCTGTCCGCGCGCAGCTTATTAGCATATATCCAACCATCCATTGGCGAAAGTGACATACCTCAACCACTGCCACCAAGCAGGCACAGTCTCGACGCCGCCATTAACCTGCATAACAAAGAACCCATACCGGATACACTCAGTCACGCCCCAAGCAAGCAAGCAGCCCAGATACCCAAACTCGCCAACAAGATCCCCCTTACCCACAATCAAGCCATGAAAGGGGTAAAGCACGCCCCAGACCACGAAGAGACGGCTGGCGACCTGCATGGCGGTGGTGACGAGCGGGGCGCGCACGATCCTGATTAAGCTGTGCAGGATCTCGAGCGCGGCGAGCGACTGCGTGATCTGGAGGAGGGGCTCATATGTCTCGGCGAAGATGGCGGGGATGTTGAATTGTGCGGGTGCAAGGGACTTTTGGGCGAGGGCTTGGAGGACCAGGAGGCGGATCGTGCGGACGGTGAGGATCGTCCAGAGGAAGAAGTTGGCGGCGTTGTAGGCGAGGAGGTATTGCCGGACGAGGCCCGATTGGGCGGGTTTGGCCTTGGATGGCATTTTTGGCGGTGGTCGTGGGGAGGGGGGAGGTGGTGAGTTGGCGATGGATGTAAAGGAGGAGAGTTTGAGTCTGTGATTGTTGTTGAGAAAAATCCCGACACGTGGGCTGGCTTGGGCTTGGCGTTGAGATCTTGACATACAAAGAGGGGCCTAAAGTAGTAGAAACAAAATGCAATTGCTGGGTCTTATATTAATGGAATAAGAATATTTTATATGTTCTACCAACATGAGGCAGAAGTCGTAAACTTGTATAGCAGAACCAGCTGGAGCTTGGAGGTACAACAAATGGATGTGATTGGCGGGCACTCGCCTCCAGCATCAACAGCCTGCTCCATGCTGAGAGTGTGGTGCTGTCGGTCTTTACCTGAATAATGCATCAGGGAGACTTTGATCTAATGGGCAGAATAATACCGAGCCGCTGGGTCAGTTTCGGGTATGTCGGCGGCTTGCCTAGCTCAATATCATTATTGAATATAGCCATCCGTGTCTCAGTCAAGCATTCCCGGCCGAGCTAAGAATAGATACGCTTCTCATCTGCTATGGCGCTTGATTCGGCTTTCTTGAACAAACGTCAATTACGGACTGATGGTATTGGCTCTACAATGAGACAAGGACTGGACGTCTCCGCCGCCAACGGTGTTTACTTGGTACGGCAGGAGCTGAGACCGTCAATGAATGACTCGAGTCACTGTTCGAGAATCAATAGGCCCAGCTCCAGAGGGTCTGTCTCAGTCAGTTGGCAAAAGTGGAGTGAAAAATAAAAAATAAAAAATAAAAAAAATACAACGGAGATGTAGTCAAACCAGACTCCAAGCGCTGCGGCTTCCAACCCTGTCACAATGAAAACGGAGGATAGGCCGTATAGCGGGGTTGTTGAGAACCTCGAGGTTCTTAGGCTCTCACCGCATATCCAAAAAGTGCGATGGTCGTGTCGTTGCGAGGGGCATTGCCAGATGAACAGCTGACCACAGCGCGGCATTATTTTGAAATAGTCCGCAATTCGACAGAGACTTCATGCAGCTTGATGTCACCGAGTGACTGGGCGACTGGGTGACTGAGTGACTGACTTGGTGGATCACACCAGCCCCGAGTCGAGGAGTTCTGATCTGCTTTTTTTTTGGTCTCCGTATGGGCGGAATGGACATCCGAGACGGCAGGCACACCAGCCTCAAGCCTCAAAACACTGAACTTACCCGCAGTAGCCTCTTGCCATCACAATATCACGAGATGCAAGAGAGGGATGGAAGGTGACACCTGGAGATGGACTGGGAGATCTGACAGCCCCCTCCGCAGTCGCAGTATAAAAGCCCCGGCAGTCGCTAAGATAAGAAGTGCACGAAGGAGGAAATGGTTCTGGAAGGCGGCCCAAGCTTTGGCGGGCTTGGCTGCGGCCCCCATTTGTCAGCGGCAGGCCCACTCTGATGTCACCGCGGTGATGACGTCCTCTGATAGGGCCGCAGGGCTCGCGCGGGCGGACCCAGCACACTCCCTCCAGTTCATGAATCGCTTCAACAATTCACTCTCCCCCACGAGAACTCGCCGGTGACCACCAAGAGCAGCCTCGACTGCATGAGCAGCACCGGCCGGGTCATCCGTTCACAGACTCGTGGCTGTCAGTTGGGCTTTGGGAGTCCCTCTTTGGGCTTTAAGAACCCCGCACGGTGGCCGCTCGGGGTATGACGAAATCGCAACGGCGAAGGTTTTCCCAGCCAACAGATTCCATCATTCACGGGAATTGAGCGGTCCCTTGGGGGGGCTAGACCGTTTAGCAATGATGTTGTGACGGGGTGGCAGTTGACAGGGTCCAGAGTATTAGCGAGGGCGCGACCTTTTTTTGGGTTTTCCACATTTTCCAGGAGGCTGGGCCGCACCAGCAGTGGTGAGCCTGGCAGGACTTTATACTCGCCGACTGTGTACGCAGCAGACAGTCGCGCCGAGAGAAAGAAGGTTCCCACGTGTTGGAAGTGCTCAGTCTTCAAGAATGTTTCAAGCACTCTCCCTCACCCGTGGCGAGTTTGATAATAATATATAATTCAGTTTGTCAGGTGGTGGATCGGCAGCGAAAGGAGAGGCCTCCTACGTCAGTCCGGGTCCGATGATCTCAGCCTGCATACGCGCACTCTGGGGGGCACAACGAGGCCGAGGGCAGGGCGAAGCAGACCGGGTCTGTCTAAACTATTGTATTGTAGTCACCGCCGTGATGCTGCTCGCAGCATCTGTAACCAGCACCTTGATAAAGGATAAATAAGGTAGGCTGAATTCAGCCTGGTGGTGCTGCCCTGGAGTGACCTCATGCTGCCCCACAGAAGCGCGGGATTTTGGACGACGAGGAACCGCTTCTCGAAGACGTTCGAAGGAGTCAATGGGGCCAGCTCGGAGGAGCCGTGGATCGCAAGCAGCAGCAGATGACGCCAGACGCAGGCGCCTCTTGTCACTTGCCCGTCGTACCGACCGGCGTGTACTCGTGTACTCGGGTTGCAGCGAGGACAGGGTCGCAGCGGGCAGCAGTCTGGATAGAGACGATGACAATCAAACAGACACACAGAATAAATAACAGCAGCCAGTGAAGGCGCCGTGCGCGCAGCAGTGAACTGGACAGTCGCCCATCCGAGTCCGCCAGCCCACTTGGCTCGTCTGCTGTCCCCCTCCATTCTGTGGTTCACTCCCAACCTCCGAAGTCGAACACAACGAAAGGGGGAGTCCTCACACGGTTAAATTTGAAAAAAAAGAACTGTCCCGCTCTCTCCATCTCATCTCATCGTCTCTCATCTCCATCCATCAGTCTCTCTCTCCCAGTCTCTCCCAGTCTCTCTCCCGCCCTTCCCTCTAATCCTAATCCTCCGTCTATCAAATCTATTGCTTCCCAGCCGCGCTAGCAGACAACCGACAGGTGGGAGTTCTTTTTCCTTACTCACGCTATAGCTCTACTACCTTACCTACCCCTCCTTCCCTTCTCTCTGCCCTGCTGCGTCCTGGCGTGATCCCGCTGGTTGCGCTGGCCCTGCTCCCTCCTCCGTCCCAACCATCCATCCATCCATCCCTTGTCTGCCAACACCCACACACCCTCAGATCCTTCTTCCAGCCGGCCACCTCTTGCCAACCATCCCGCCCAGGTGATTCCACCAGACTAAATCCTGTATACCGCATCGGTGCCCCTGGGCCCCTGCTTGTCCGTGTCCGTCTTCCCTCGTAATAGCCTTATTGCGTAGGGCAGGCAATGCGTATCCCGCCACCAACCTTGAGCCGCTGTAATCTTGCCATAAATTCGTGGACCCGCAAGACTGACGTGCATTTTGATCCAGCAGACTTTCGCGCTCAATCAATCAATCAATCAATCAATCAAAAGTAATCTCAGTATCACGAGTTTCTATTATTCTTTCTGGATAAAGTCGTCTGAGATACAGTGGCCTTTGTTGTCCCGCCACCTCCTACAACAACAACAACAACCACAACAACCACAAAAACAAGCCCAGTCATAGCTTGAGAAGTCTCAACATCACATCCATAAACATGGCATCCTCAACTACCACCACCAAGACCAAGGAGGAGACGGTGCGTCTGTCCAAAGAGTCCCCCGCCATCCCCCACGGCCCAAAACTGATATCGAACAGGCCAAGCCCAGAACCCTGGCAGACATGTCCGAGAGCATCGACCAGGCCACATTCGAACAGATCCTCGAAATGGACGAGGAAGGCGAACATGATTTCAGCAAGGGCATCGTGTACGGCTTCTTCGACCAGGCCGAAAGCACTTTCGAGAAGATGGAGACAGCGCTGTGCGTGATTACTTCTGGCAACGAATACGTGGTGTATACTGTATACTAACAGTGCTGCAGGAAAGAGAAGAAGCTCAGCGAGCTGTCGTCGCTAGGTCACTTCCTCAAGGGCTCATCAGCCACTATCGGCCTCACCAAGGTCAAGGACGCATGCGAGAAGATCCAGCACTACGGAGCTGGTAAGGACGAATCGGGAACCAACGACGAGTCCGACGAGAAGGTTTCTCTAGATAAGATCGGAAAGACCCTGGAGACCGCGAAGAAGGATTACAAGGAGGTAGAAGCCTTCTTCCGGGAATACTTTGGCGATGAGGAAACGCCCGACTCGCCAAAAGACTCTTAAGCAATTGCGTGGGGGAAGGAGAAGAAGAAGACGAAGAAGAAGAATGAGTTTGGATGGACCCGGTAGAAGAAAGAGATCGTACTACTGTCTGTTAACTGGATATACCACACAATCACACATCACGAGAGGGTGGGTGGCAGGCAGTGGAGCAGTGGATCTGACCACACCACCACACCCTCGCATCCCATACACAACATTCGCATACTCTCCATTTCAATTCAACACAGCTCAATGAAATTCGAAATAACGAGACGTGATTCTCCCACATACAAAATGAAGGCACGGCCGTCAACCTGCGCAGCAGACTTGAAAGGAGGAGGACCTTTCAGGCTATGTACTGCACCACTTTTTCTTGTCTTTATCCTCATCTCTGGCTGGTGACTTCCCGCCCGAGTGTCTCCCTGCTCGTTAGATTTGTATTGAACCAAGGACTGTATCGTTTGGTTATCAGGTAGATGATAGGTCTTGCCTCGTGCCAGGCATTATGAATGATGTTATGTCTCATGCACAAAGCCTTGTGGAGAGGTCAGTAAGTACCAGTCAACACAAGGACGGTTTCCAACCTTGCAATAATGCGGCTGTCTGTCCACCGTCTGCGACTATTTATGAAAAGAAGCGAGGGTGCGGGTTTTTCGCGGGCGTTTCGCAGGTGGCACGGAGCGAGGCCGGGGGTGTCGACTGTCCACTGTCGCTTAGGGACTGTACCACTTCACCCTCGCAGAGCAGACCTCGCCTTTTCTCTCCATTGGATGCCTCGTCCTTTCCCGCGCTGCTCTCGCTCTTCTCCAATGGCTTCTTCTCCGTTGCTCCCGGATCAAACGGCTCTCTCACCTTTCTCGATTGCACCGTCTTGCTCGCAATGTAAGCAACATCAACAACAACAACAGCAACAATTAATGTGAATCCAGCCGCTCTGTTTGTCAAGAGAAACACTCCGTTGCCGAACCAACCAGAGACACCTCTTTCTCTTCTCCTCGCTTGCTCTCGCAGTCCGTCCGTGCGGATGGACGTTGCACAGCAGACGCTCAAGCGGGAGGCGATCGACAGGGAGCTCCCGAGTAGTTTGCTGCCAGCGGACGATGGAGATACTGTTGCTGTCTGAAGTGGCAAGATGTATGTATCCAAGGGTACTTGCGTTGTGTTCTTCGCTTCCAGGTTGATTCAACGCAGACCTACGATGGTCTCCTCTCCCTCCCTCAAGCGTGCGATGAGTCCTCGGATAGCTACATCGCTACAGATGACGAGTCTCTCGAAAACGGGCTGTTGTGTTGTTACACCTGTCAGGCGCCATTGACCTCTGCCTCTCTCTCTTTTTCTCCCTTTTTACTGCTAATGCCTGCATACCGAGGTCTGTACCTGGATGATTGATTGCCCACCATATCCACATCCATCCACAGCGATCGTCGGCGTCGCAGGGCCAGGGAGGGACAACAACGGCGCTGCATGCATGCATCCCCAGTCACAAACGCAACAAGCTCCTCCACCCTCCCGTCCTCGAAGTGCATCCTCATCCATACTGGACATGCGTCGCCGACTGCTTATTGCCATTGCGACTGCTGCCGATATCCCGATTGCCGTCTGTCACCTACAAGGTTCAGCGAAATAATGCTGGGGGGATGGATAGCCGGCGATAGACAGACAGGTGGATGGATGGATGGATCAGTCCACTCAGCCATGGAGTTTCCCTCCCTTCGACTGTCACTGCTGCATTCGAGGACCGGGAGGGCCGTTTGTACGACGCTTCTTGCCCTCATTAGGAAAATAGGCACCATCCCGGACTGGCGGAACGCGAGACTTGACTGGTCGTGTGTTCCATTCTGCTATCTGGCTGGGTGTATTTAAGTTTACCGATGGCTTTCTTTCTTCTATCTTGCTGCTACTACCTTATCCTCTCAGTACATCCGACGAGCTATATCGCCAAACCCAACATCCAGTTCAATAAACAATAATATAACCCATTCAATCAATCTACCTTATCATCTCATCCATAACAAAAAATGGCCCCCGTAGGCCCCCGCGCCTCCAAAGAGGAGTTCATGCAAGCCCTAGGCCTCAACTCCCACGACCCCCAGCACGAGCAATACTACCGCGCAATGCGAGTCCGTCCCCCCCTCCCAGTACTTACTCACTTACTTACTTACACACATGAATAAATCCACAGGACGAAACAATCCAAATCTACACATACCTAAACACCTCGCCCACAAACCTGCTCGACAGCCTCGCGTCCGACCCCAGCACAAAACCCCCATACTTCTGGCACCACATCAAGCCGGAGCGACAGCAGTGGGCGATCCGCGAGATCGCGCGCAACGCGAGCCCGCGCACGAGACCGCTCTTTGCATCGGGCGAGACGGGCGGCGAGTATGCGCCGAATTGGGTTGCCGGGTGGTTGCTTTATAGTGTCTTTCGGAGTCGGGATGTGCGGAATAATCGGAATCGGAGGAGGGGGGAGGATGGGTCTGCTTCTGCTGGTGGGCAAGGTATGTTATTCAAATTCCCTTGATTGAGAGAATTTTTTTTTTTTTTTTTTTTTTTTTTTTTTTTAGGGGGATTGGGCTGACTTTGTGTGTTTATGTGTAGGGCAAGCGTCGAGACATTTGAAGCAGGGGAATGATACTGGGCAGCAGGCGAAGAAGGAGTATTATGACCCGGTGAGGAATGGATGAATGAAGCAGGATTCCTAGGATTGACTTCAGAATTCATATTGGAGTGGGTTGTTTAGGGGCATAGCATTGCGAAGCTTGGAAGCTTGGCTTGTCTTTTCTTCTAGAATGCAAAGCGAAATGGAGTTGAATGTTTACGAGAAATATGAGATGTCTTGATTGTTGGTTTCAGGTTTAATCTATCAGGCAGATGGCTGGCCAGTGTCAATAGACAGGGTAGTGTAAGCAAGAGAGGGCGAATCGTATTCGTGCTTTGTATTGCTAACCACCTAGGTATACTCGACAAAGTAATGGCCATGTTACTGAATATGCATGGTACTCCCTTACCCCGTGGCAGAATATTGTATGAGCAGGACCAAGACGAGATCAGGTGCGTGATGCGCCTCTCAAATCAGTTCTAGGATGAGTCTGTATCTGACTTTCATCCTCGAAAATGTCCTCAAATGCAATTGCCCTCTTATTCATATCATCCCATATGCTAAACGCTTCGCGCCCCTCAATCCGGCCGTAGCGTAGCCCTCTAAGATTAGGGTCCCCGACGCTGCTCGTGAACTCGCATATCTTCGCCCTCCCATCTCTCCAGGAGGTAAGATCTTTGTCAACAATAACCACCGTCTTGTCAATTGCAGACTGCTGATCAGCAAAGAAGTATGGAAGCTGACAACCCTCCTCCTGAAGCTCGCAGAACACCTTCCAGATGTCACCCAGGCTCCCATCTGCAGCTCCCTTGTCGCCGTCTGTCCACGGTATCATACGGCACGTCTTAGGAAAGACCCCAGGATCCGCTTCTCGTTCCCCTAGGGTTTCGACTTCCCTGGCGATCTCCGCTTTTTGATCGGCTGTGAGGGTGTTTGCCTTGAAGAAGATCCAGGTGACCGCCATGTGATGATTATGACTAGGGTCAACCTTCGACAGTGGTGAAGCCAGACAAAGGGGTTGCTCAGGTTGGTATAGAAGCTCTGTTTCAGGAACAGGGAGCTTTAATTGCCGAGCTCTTTTTATTTCTTTTTGTAACTCAAAAGCCCGGTGCATATTACAATGGCAAACCATCGCATACCGAACCATCCGTCCGATGTTGTTTCGCGAAATAAACTTGAATCCACCTCCACCGTGATAAACAGTCCCAAATAAGGGTGTCGGGGGTGTCGAACCTGGCTCTAGAAAGGCATCTCCTGGACCAGTCGGTGTTAGGAGGAAGTTAACTGGGCATACAAATCGCCCATGTATGAGTTTCCAGTACCGTTCTAGATCGATTCGATTGCCGACTCGGTCGTATTTCCAGGGAACCAGGCGCACCGTTAGCTTTTTTGGAAATCTAATACAACGGGCGTAAAAATGCTTGTCACTCTGATCATCCGAATCTGAATCCAAGCCCGAACTCTCCCCGCTCTTTTCACTGTCTTCATCTTCTTCGCTCTCGTTGCTTTCTTCACTTTCTTCGCTGTCTCCATCATCCCCATCGTCCTCACTGTCGTCCGTATAGTCCGGGTTTTCTGGATAATCCAGTTCCTCTCCATCTTCATCATCGTCGTCTCCTTCGTGATGTTCAGTATCTTCGTCCTGTTCTCCAACAGCACCTCTATGCGAATGGCCTGCGCTATCGGCTCTCGGTGAGCACATCTCTTGATGATGATTCTTCAATTGTTCAATGTATCGATCCACTCGCTGCTGGATAGCCGACTGCATGTTCTGCCGCTCATCATCAGTTGACGGGAAAAGGAGAAAGATATTCAGTTCCCTCTCATGAAGTAGAGATGGAATCCCGAAGACCTCCTTGTCTGTATCATACAGCCAATCGACAACCTGGTTCACAAGTTCAGTTGGCAGCGGCGTACTCTCGGACAGTGCCTCCTCGGTAGCAACCTTAAGTTCGTCACGCCCTGTCATAGCTCGTGTATTAGGCGTGAACACCTCCCTGGTAGGATCATGGAGCTCGACGCCCCAGTTGAATAGCTGCTCAAAAATGTCTAGCCAATCCCGCTCAAGTATATCAAGGAATTCAATGCTGTGCCTTGAATTGAGGATGTTGCGGTTTCCTTTCTTGCCCAACGGGCATCGCCTAGCAAAAACACGAATATGGTCATTGTCCTTGGTACCATCCTGGGGGATCAGGGGCTCGATATAGATCATCACGCCAAAATAACTTTCGGGCCTAACCCTTTCACTGGGATCCATCTTTCCCCTAATTTCACGTTTCATGTAGTCGTCCGCAACGAAGACAAACTTGTATCGTGCTCGATGTGCAAGGACGGCAAACCCGTAGAGATTAGCCCGGCTGTCTTTGAAGTACTTTTTGACGGCGTATTTGTGTTTCTGTGCCAGTGGCTGAAGGAATGCTGACTTCGGAGGTCGCCATACTTGAATCGATACCGTTGGTCCGTTGCCGTCGGAGTCTTTGATGGATATATGGATGTCACTGATGACTTTGACTTCTTCAGCAACGGTTAAATCTGCCAAATTGACAAAGAGGAGTGAGTTTCCATCTGGGTCTGATGCTTGGGGTAAGCCATAGGGAAGGGCTTCAGGGTCGGCGGCTGTTTCTATGTTCATCTTGAGCACAGTTTAGTTTTAAAAGACAGAAAGGACGATGATGGGCCCTATTTGAGAAAGGCTTGGATGGGAAGTTGATGGGGCGATGGAGAGATCAAAGGAGAGTTCGACGTGGAGAGTAACAACGAAGGATGGTGAAGAGTGAATTGGAGGAAAGAGTGAAGACAATTTCGCTCATAATAGCAGTCCCGATTGGGAGAAGAAACACCCAATTCTAAGACATGAGATCCAGCCATCTCAGCGATCCTGGTAAACGAGTGTCTTCGGTTGGAAATAAGACTTAGTGTACAAACGAGGTACTATATACAATCAAGTCTAAAGAATACAAAGAAAAGAAGTCAATTCGACTGTCAACAGTTGGCTCCCCCGTCAGTCATCTTTCTTCCCCTTGTCGTCTGAGTCTTGCTCATTGTTGCCCTTGTTCTGGTCTCGCTCCTGCTTCAGGGCCTCAACAACACGCTCATCTCGCTCATCCAGTCTCTCATCCCACTCTGTGTCGTACTCGGCCGAAATGGTTTTGATCTCCCTCCGCAGGGCATTCCCCTCGTAGATCAAGTTCTCCCATTGCTGCAGGTCCACTCCCTTCAGCTGGTATAGTTTCTTTTGGCGCGCGTTGATGGTGAAATCCAGTGCGGAACGGTATGAAATCTCGCGGTTGTGATAGAGGAACCAGAGATAGCCTCCCATCAGCGTGGACAAACTGGCCAGGTATGTAATCGGCTCCATGGTGTCCCAGCCCAAGTCCGTCCCGAACGTCAGTTTATAAACGATACACCACCAGGATACCAGTATTCCAAAGCCGCCAAGAGCCACTCGTTGCGCGCCGCGATGTGCCAATGCATCACATTCATGCTTGATCTCTGCGATTGTACGGATCCGGTCCGATATTTTCCTCAGACGCATGCGAAGGTAATGAGATCGTTCCTCGAATGAAGGGACCGTTATCCTGATCTGGTCCATGCCTAACGGTGCGCCTTCGATGGCTACAACAAACTCCCCTGCGCGTGCAGCGTCTCGTATGAAATCGCCAATTTCTGTCGCATGCGACCAGCGCACATACCGTTGCTCATTATCCTTATTCTGCGCCTTTCGTAGAGAACTATATGTATCGAACTCGTCTTTGGGTGGCTTCATCTCCTCAGGGTGACCCCGACCTTTATCATCTGCGACCGCCACTTCTTCTACCTCCATTTCCTTCGATGGGTCCACAGATTCATTGGCACCCTTGCTCTTTACTTTCCGTGGGCGGATTGGATGGTCTTCAAACTGGAATGCTATGAACGACACACCCGGTTGTCTTTGGCGCCCGTCATCATCCTTGATCGATGTTAGCTCAGCCTGGATCAATCGTTCCAAGTATGATAGAGGCTGTTGAGAGTGTATAAGTATAGCTATTGTTTCCACATCTAAGCAGGAGTCAGAAACTCTTTAGAGCCCAATGATGGAATTAAGAAAAAAAGACTCACCTTTCGGATGATCTGTTGGCAATGGAATCAGGAGTTTCAGCAATCTCGACGGTGTCGTCAATAGCTTTCCTAGCCAGACATGAGCATTTGTCCAACCCTCTCAATGTTATAGAAGAAGCTAAAGCCAACTTACCCTTCTGTGCCTCCTGATCAAAGGTGTCCCTGGGCCACCTCTCTCGCCGTAGCCGGGCCCTCCCGTCCTCTTCAATTTCCTCGGACCCATTTCTCTCATATGAGGCCGACTCCCTCAGCCCTGCCCGTCTCTTCTGCTCTACCGTCACGCTCTGTCGGTGCGGCCCAGTATCCAAAGATGAATGGATATATCGCCTCCCAGCCCCGATTGACATCTCACTGTGGCTCAATGGCCTATCTCGCATACCCTGGGTCCATGTTTGGCACCCTGATAGCATATATATCTGACGTAACCCTCGCCCAGTGTCAAAGCCGGGAATCTGAGGCCGTGAAGTACGTGTATGCGTAAGATTTGCTCCTCCCGTCCGTAAGCCCCGCGTTACAGCCGAAGCGTAACGGCTCCGGAATGCCAATTGCATCTTCCCGGGTCAGGATAGATGGTACGTTTTCGTCGCCGTAGTTGCTTGATACTTCACGTGGAGAAATATGCGGGGGAAAAAAGGAGGTAATGTGTCTTGGTTGTAGTGGGGATGTGGTAGGAATCAGCTCTCTAGCATCCCTAGGAGGATAACCTATGTTCTGTAAATGTGGTTCTCCTTTCTCGATGTTAAATAAAATGAATTGGCCTTGCTCGTCAGCTCGTAGTTCCAAGTTGTTGGCTTGGGGAGCTTACAGGAGTGATGTCATTATTACTCAGCCGCATGTCGACATCACGCTTTCCGGTTTGGGAATTTGGTCTGGCCGATTGACGCTGGGGGCGATCCAAATATAGATCACTTGTTGGGAAGTATACAGCAGTATGTGCACCGCAAGGCCTTGAATAATGAGTCCACTCAATGGGTGTTGCCACAGACAGACCTTGCATTTACACCCATTAAACGCAGATGCTCGTGAATCGTATGAAATATACCTATCATTTGCCGAAAGCATCAGACTATTTAAGGAGTAGACAAAAGCTTGGTTGACGCTAACTCGCTGATAAAAAAAAGGAGAAATGATCGCTGGCCACCACAATGCAAGAATTAAGCATGTATACATTCTGAGACTCTGCGAACGTGCCAGCAGACCATCATCACTCTCTGCCACCGAGGATAAAGAGACGCGCGCTGATAGATAGGGGGTAAGGTAGTCATTGACGCCGAAAAGGAGGGTAGGCATCTCGGTCTATAGAATATTCAAATTGTGTCGTAAGTCATCAGTCATAAATTGGGCGTCGTTCGTCTCGCATCAGTAATAAAAGACGAATTTTTTTTTTCCGGTCATCGCCTCTTAGTCTCAGCTCAGTGCAAAGCTTCGCCTGTATCTCCGCTGTGCCAAGTGGCGTTATCTGGGGTTTCCCGTGTTGCAAGGGTCCAAACACTCGGCCGAAATAAGCTACAAGGCGCGACGACTGAACGCAAAAGCCCTGGGATGCGGACCAATGGGTCGTCGATCACGGCCCAGAAACTCCCCTTCGTAGCTTTCAGGGCTGCTTCCTCCACTTCTGCTCCCCTCACTAGCCGACATGTCGATGTCATCGAGATAGCGGGATCTTCTCCCCTTGCCAATGGCCACAGGGATCCCCTGGGCGACTCCACCGTGATCGTGGCCAGCCGGGTACTTGCCATCATTGACGGAGAAGTTGCGACAGATGAGGTAGGCCCGCATTGCTGCGTTTTCACGAGCAAGGGTCTCGGAAGCGCAAACGACGTCCGTTTGGTACTCGCGATTGTTAACGCGGACGATACAGGTGTACCCGGTTGCGCTGGCGTAAGATTCGTAAAGGGGCTCTGGCCAGTGACGGCGCCGACAGAGACCTACATAGATGGTTATTGGACATTGAACTCATTTTAGGCGATGAATCCCTCAGTATGAAACGCCAATAACAACAATCCCCCGGGAGGTCAACAAATCATACAACACGAAGATAAGATGGGTCTCCTAGTTGCACATTTTCCCATCTAAATGAGGATTTGCGTTGGGGAGGGCATTATTGACAAGGCGATCAACAAC